CATCTCCAGCTGCGTCTGCATTGGGCCAAGAAACATGGAATTGGATATAGAAGAATGGAAGAAAGTTGCATTGTCCGACGAATCACGTTTTCTGGTCCATCACATCGACGGGCGTGTGTTAATATTCCGATTTCCAAACGAAACCCTGTCTCCAGACACAGTCCCTGTCACGTAATAATACAGCTGGACGGAGACAAGTCGGTGGCGGGGTATTATAGTGTGGACAATGTTTTCATGGAACACATTAGAAACCATAATATCCATAAAACAATAGAGTTCCTCACTTTTTTCCGAAGCTAGTACAATTCTAATGTACTTGGCCCCTAATCTTAAACTATCCGGCAAACTATCAAAAAGCACGTAATAATACAGCAGAGCGTAACAACAGCTTAGAGAGACGTAGCGCGAAGACAAACGCGTGCTACTCAGGAATCCTATCTCTCTTTCTCGAAGTCAATTCAACATGACTGCTATTGCATTTGTTAAATAACATCGGAAAATTCTGGATTGATGTCCTCTGTTATCGAAGAACTGTTTATAACTGTAATTTATTTCTGTATCTAGTTTAATTCTTATCATTTCTGAAAACGCTACTTCACAGAGTTATATAGTGTGTTTTAATGTCGAGCTCCGTAGACGCTAGTGAAGCCAGACATAAGGACCAATGAGAGAACATCGCATTCACGTAAGACATGATTATGTCAGTGATACGTGATTGTGAGACTTCTTTGGTGCACTCCGAGTATCATTTTGCGTATCTCACTTTGGAGACCACTCTCTCAGGAGTTCTAGATTGGCGCACCGTTCGCCGTTCGTTCAGAGGTTTTCACGTTTAAGTTTGCAAAATTTTTGCTTTTAAATCAGTGCAGGTTTATTAATTTTTCATTGTTGTCGTGAATGCATGAGTCGTATGAGCGTACCAAATATATGTATTCGTATGCCCTGATTTGCTAATATAGTGATTGTTAAAAATAAACCCAGAAAAGTAATTTCCTTTTTCCCATTATGTATATTTATTTAAAAACACTGGCAATGTAAGTATATTTTATTTGACCTTTTGTTTTTTAATAATTTGGAATACTGTTGTATAACTTTGACACTGGTTTTTATTTTGTTACTGTTGTTTCTTTGTGTAGTAAAAATTTTAATATTTTTTGTATGCGTTGCTTGCCTCAAATAAGATACATACCAGTACTGACAAATCTAAAGTATGCTTTTCCTTTATCTACTCGTAAAATCGTAATAACAAATAATATGATGTAATAACGCGTAATAATTAATAATAAGATAATGAGAAGAATAAATTTAATTATAAGAAGTGCAGAAGGGTATTATTTATATTATATCATGTCAATTATTGTTTATTTCAGGGGGAAACTGTTTGCATATTGCCTCTGTAATAAAATCAAAATAATTCTTCCTGGTTGCTGCTTTTCGCTTCTTTCTCCAAATAAATTCTGACTGATAGGACGTAAGATGTTGCCATGGGTTACATCGTTGTATTTTATTTCTTCGTTTAGCCGATCCTCATAAACTCTGGGCAGTTTGAGTATGAGCGTTTACGAAATTATATTTGTGGATAACTTTGAGATGGAAATAGCCAGCTTCCTCCAGTTCCTGAATTTTGCACGCTTTACAACAGTCGGAATAATGCCTGGTTCCATCATTAATATTTTCCTTAATGCGTCGCAAAAGGCAAAGTGTTCCTCTGTTGGGTACCGTTACCAGAAATGTTTCTGTCTACGAATCTCTCCAAAAATCATTCATTGTTCATCTCGGCAAAATTCAGTTGGGGTCGATTCCTTTAGGCTATAAATAAATGAAATAGAGTGCCAATGTAAAGAAGATACGAAGTGTATTGATTCGACTCTATCGAATCGTCTCTCCTGAAGGGCAATTCAAATGCCGCATAGTGAGACCAAACAACGGGAGACTCAAAAAGAGAATTTCAAGGATAAAAATGGTCGCCAAAACATAATGAGTTACAATTGGCAGATTTGCGGGAAGGCAAAGGAAAAGTACCGTCTATAGAATTTGTCATAAATCTCAACGTTGAACTACGACAGAGTGGACAATAGTTTTGACCAAACCTTAAATTGCGCCGGCACTTCTCAGTTTTCCAGGTAAACAGTGACTCTAGCTGAAGCGTACCGGAGGTCTGAATAAAAGGGTACAGGCACTTCTTTTATGTAGATGAAACACAATTTAAGCATCAAATTTGATTTTTAAAGTAAATATGCCTTAAAAATCGATTATAACTTCCGAATGGACGCCTTTCTTTTTCTTGGGAACAAAAACTTTAAGCTTAAGCTATTTGTTGATGGCACCTTAAGGTTACGACTTTTAAGGAAAAAGGGTTAACACTTTCAAGGAAAGAAAAGCGACTCCATACACACGTCAAAGGCTTGTTTTTCAGGTAATGCAAAGAATATATGAGAGCGAGTAACATGCTTAGTTTCCCAAAGTACTAAAAGTGATTACCTTCGTAATGCGGGTCCAAGGCTAGTGACTTCACAGCAGAGTTCCTGTTGACTTCAACTGTGAAACCAAATACAGGTAAAATTTATCACTTGTACAAAAAATTACTTTTGTTCTCGTGTTGTTATCGGATAAATCTGCCGAGTCGCATGCTGCTTATCGGCTAGAAAGATATCGGCAGGGCATCGCGGTCAAAAATTGCTTGACTCTTCTCTCTTTGTTTTCGAAGCTTCACTTCGCCATTAAAATTTCTTTCCGTCTTCTCATATTGTTTCTAGAATCCTCTCTATTCTGATTAATGACACTTTAATAGTTTTACCTTTTTTCCATTGGTGTGCGGGAAAAAATGGTTTTTGTTTCTCTCATCCCTTTAAAATACGTTATACCGTATATTCAGGCGCTTACATCCAGCCGGACGACGGCTGAGCTATCTCTTGGTTTTTGGAATGAAATTTCAAGGTTCGATATTTTATTTCTTTTAATTAATTATTTATCATGAATTTTATAATATATTAAATTTTATTTACATAAATATTTACATTTTTACATTCTATTGTATTTTAATTTTAATTTACTTATTTCATTATTTTATTTATTAGAAAATTTATTATTTATTTTATTTATGTATTTTTCTGTTCTTCTTGACGGTTTTCGACCTCTGGCACTTCTTGAATTTAGAAATTAAGCCCTAATTTTGGTTCAGTACATATAGGGTAAAGGAAATGCACCCATTAGTACTTCGCACGACGGAGCCAAAGGTACTTAGCGCGTTCCTGTGCGTGCTTTTGTATGCCTTTGCATTATTGTTTACTATGTGGTCTAGTAGTTCCTCACCAGCTTCTTGCATCAATTTTACGCATATCCATTAACTACTTTTTTTATTCTTTGTTCTGCCTTTGCTGCTTATTTTTTATGAGGAATGTATATATACATATTTTTCGCGGAAAATTTAAAACAGAATAAATTGTTATTTTTGTTTTTATTCTAATTTATAAATTAACAATAGAAAAGTTAAACGTTTATGGCTGTGCATGAAAAATTATAAGAAAAATAATTAATAAAACAACCGAATAATAAAATTATTTTTACTGTAACCACTGCGATATTTGTTTCTCTTTTCTTTTTACTTAACTTTTTCAGGTCGATCTCAATACCTGTATTCTCGCAGGCCGTTAGTTGGGCATCTGCAGTATAGACTACGCACTAGACTGTTTTTATAGAAATGGATTGCATTCTTTTTTAATCTGCAGTCTATCTGATTACATTATGGAAGTATCTAAATTTTACTTAAGTATGAATGTTGGCATCAGTTTCTGTCACTATTATCTTGATTATTGGTTTCTTCGAGGATTAGAAGCATTTTAGACGTGCAGTGGAAGTTGTTTTCCGCAGCCGTGAATTCAATGCGGATTGTTTTTAAATTTGTTCTCTACATTTCTGAACAGATCCTTCGGACTTCCTTCTATAGTTAATCTGATTGTGGGATTTGGAACTACCTGCTCTTCATTCAGGGAATTTTTGTGGATTGGGGGCTATCTGGATTAGGCTTATCGAACAATAATCAAATAATAATCAAAATACTCGGACATGGGTGCCCATTCTTGGTCCAAACTGATTGTAAAATTTCTAATTATTCAGAGAAATTAATGATTTAAGTATAAATCACTAAATTTCACAATTAGTTCACTACTATTATAGTACATTAGCACAGTAATATTTGACAGGAGACGAAGGAACGGAAAGCTGAACGAACTGTTGAGAAAATTTAGGTACTATTCAATACAGAGTCCTATTTGAAAGAAATGCTTTCAGAAGAAGAACGGGGAAAAGATAATGCTAGATCTCTGTTCCGCAAAATTTGTCAAAAGACACTGTTTATGCAAAGATTCCACTCATAAAGCATTAGCAAGCTATAGGAAAAGCAATTTTAGTAACACAACTCACTTTAGAAACATTTTAAAATATACGAAACAGCAAATAACACTGCAGAAATTCTGAGAGAAATGGAGGCCTAACGAATCTGAAGTAAATTGGAATAGAGACAAAGAAACAAAAAAAAAAAAAACACCTCAATACCTGATGTTTTTATATAAAGTAATTTTGAATCAAAACAATAACACCTTCCTCATCATTTTCCACTTATCCCATTCTCACTCCTTTGTAAGAATATTGCAAATTGAAATTACGTTTTTGGCTGTTTAATCTGTTTTATCTTTTTGTTTCATATTTAATGATTTCCATTGCTTTTGGTTTGGTATGCATAAATTGTTATTATAAAGCTTAAAAATGATCTGTATCTTAGAACAAATTAATCAGATTTAGATTTACGAACGTTTCTGTTCACAAAAGAACTTCAGAAGGGAAGTTCTCTGTATTTCTGAATCCGTTTTGTGTTTTCCTTTCTTAAGGTTTTTAATATTGGGAAATTTTAAAATTTATTTCTTTATTTGAACTGTATTAAGTTTATGAAAGAGTCATAAATAAAACTATATTTCTTTTTGCTCCATGAGAATTGGCAACGGTGTAAAGTGACGTGGGAAATTCTCCTCTTTGAAATCATGTTATAACTCTTTCGGCGCATGATATATTTCGCTACTACTCTATCTTAACTTTTGTAAAACTCTCTTTTACAAGAATAGAAGTAAAAAATGCTGTATTTCTTCCTGACACTTACGTCATGCTGCTCCAATGTTGTTTTGCTAGAAATTCTTATGAGGTACAATGATCCTTATGTTTAAAACATTCAAACATGTATTTATATTCGAGTGCAGACGTATTGGTATGCTAATTTAAGCTTATAAATTAAAACGCTGACGTTTCAGTATTTTGAGGAAGAGATTTTGGAGTACATGTCAAAATATTTAACCTATTATTGGAGTCTATCCAATAAGTTTATTCAATAAGTTTTTATTCATTCATTTATTTTATGACTTTTTATTAATTAATTAATTTTATGTGCAAAAGCTTTAATAAAGAGTATAAATTATTAAAAGTAATATGTAATTTTATGGGTTAGCAATTCTTTCTTTTTAAATTTTTTTTTTTTATTTGTTTATTGCTGTTATCTGTTGTAGGAAAGTGCAACATAGCCTTGTGTTTCTTACTTTTCCTCATGTTCTTACGTGTATATGAAGATATCACTTTGTGTCCTACCGTCAATATGATAAACATTGAAAAGAAATTATTCATTTAGCGTATATGGAAATTTTAATAGGTAGAAATATAATTTAAGGCAACATAAGTTTGTCATTGTTACTTTTTTCCCTCTCGAAAATTTTTTTAAATAAATTTTTTGAAATTTTTTTGTCTGATATATAATTTCTTAGTAAAATTCTGTAGATGATGTTATATTTTCTTTTTTTGTGTGTGTGTTGATGTGTTGATAGTTTTTGAAACTTAATTAGATAATCTGATACTTTTCCATTGCACACATTTTGGCTTGTGTGCATGCTTAATGGAAAAATACCATGTATACGCATGTGTGTGCCATATATAAACTAAAAACTATAACTTAAAACTAAAATATTTTATAACTAAAAATTGTTTGCAAAAATGTGTGGCAGGGACATAATGGAAAAGTGCCAATAATCTTAGTTTTCTTGTTTGTTAAATAATATTTTCTGTTTACTCATAAAAATAGGTATTCACTGTTTTGTCTACAATCCCAAATCTACCATTTGTGTGTGATTTTTATCAGTAAAGGAAGACTGATATTTTTAAAAATTATTGTTATTAACTAAAAGAATAGTGAGAGTCATGAGTTAGTAGTAAATTTTAATGAATTTGTAACAGACTTTGGGGAATTAGTAGCAATCTTTAGAGAATAATATTGAAAACAATAGTAAAAATATTTGATCATTTGACTAAAATGGCATTGAAGTATTCATAGTTTTATGCAGACATCATTATTTGATTATTGGAGAAGTTAAACAACAAAAATCAGCGTAATGTTTGTAAATTTTGCAGGAATTGTTTCGATCCATTTGCACTTAGGCAGCCGAAGAAGGCGATTCTGTATTTAAACCATCAAAACTAGTCCTGCAAAATTTTACAAACATTATGCCGATTCTTGTTGTTTAACTTCTTCAATAATCATTATTTAGCATGTTATTTTAACCTAAATTATAATTTGACTTTTTACAAGATTGATAAATCTATGCATTAAAGTAAACTAGATATTAAAATAAGTTATTCATGTTTTAATGAAATTAGTATTTTTAACTGGTTACTAATTTTGGTACTTTTTAAATAATACAACCTCTATTTTGTAAACAGTGCCAAGATTATAAATAATCGGCAACACGAACTATTTTCAAATGATAGCAACCCTAACACTGACCATTCATACTTTGCTCATGACAATAAGAGCTCTGAGCAGACCACGTGTTATCATATTTTGCTTTTTTGATATAAATATCAAGTGACTCACAGTGACTCATAATTACTTCATCATAAGAATAGGGTTAAAGTTTACGCTACCTCTTGGAAAAACATTTCTTTTTTGATGCCAAAATCGGTGCCAGGAACAATCAGCACTACTTTCAATATGGTGCCAATCCTTCCGCTCGCTACACAAAACCAAAACAAGAACTCAAAGTTCGCACTAAAATTTTGTCAATCATTCAATGTCTGTCAACAAAAGTGCCACGATTTTGCTATATCACCTCTTTCTGTGATTCAAAGTTTCGAAAGTAACGATAAAAACTTTCTCCAAAGTTATCTAACTACACGAAAACCACAATCCAAATCTTAAACTCTGCTGACAGCTGCATACTTTACCAGCAACCATTTGACTGCAAACCCACACAAGTCTATCAGAAACGCCATTTTGCATCCGACTACTCGTATCAGCTCCGCATTTCGGACACATCAAACTCCGTTTTAAAAGCCATGACTCCTACAGAAATTCCAAAAATGCACTTCTATCCGCATAAAGACACCTGTGAACAAAAGGCTCTTTAACTCCAACATTGTACCTTTTAATACTAAATTTACTTTCCACACAATCTAAAATACATGACTGAAATCTGGCCACCATGTCTCTTAAGTTTAACGTCAAAAGGGTTGCCATACAAACAGAATCGTCCATCAAATCATCCCACAGCATGGAATTGTGCCAAAAACCAGCGCAGAACACACATTGCCACATTTGGTGATCGTAAGCTGCATATAAGAGTAGAGCCGAAAATATTATATTTTTGTTCTAAGAAAGACTTCTTGTATCTGAATGTGTGTAAGTATCAAAATGTATTAAATGACATCATTTGGAGGTGCATTGTGAAAAGTTGTAAGTGAAGGAAAAGCACAGATGTTATTTTAACAGCTAGTTTAGTAGTTTCAGAATACTAGTTGTAACAATGTAGCTATGTATTTATTGGTGAGGAGGTGAACTGACATTGAGAGTGGTGGGAGAATCAACTCATTATTTATGAAAATACAACTACAGTCGATTCTGCTTAATTGGGACACTGCTTAATCGGGACAGCTGCTTATTTGGGACTAATCTCAAAGAACGGATATCAAACTAAGAAGCCAATAGAAAATTTATATGTTTAATTGGGACAACATTCCACTTAATTGGGACAGTAAATTTAAGATCACAGTACATATTACGAGTTTGTTACGGAGCGTTGTCTTGCAGCTTATTGTGCATGAGTTGCCTTACAGTTTATAGCGCATGCGTTGCCTTACAGCTGATTATGTATGTGTTGCATCACAGGCGAGTGCAAAGGTGTTCTTATTAAGTTACCATTACACCTTGTACGTGACGATTGTTGCATATTTATTAACTCGCAATACACATCACGCGTGAACAGTGCATCAACTTATTGTTCAAAAATTTAACCCTTGCCAAAATGCCAAGAAATGATTTGACACTTTCTAGCAAAATTGCTTTCCTAGATAAAATAAAAAGCCAGCCACCTAATACAAGTTATCGCCGGCTCGCTGAGATAACTGGAGTACCCAAATCTACCATATTGTGTGTCTTACGACAAGAAAGTCAACTGTGTGAGGAATTGGTTTTACAAGGAGGACAAGCAGGAACATCCAAAAGGAAGCTCAAGGGGAAGGATCCAGACGTTGAAGAAGCACTAGATCAATGGTTTTCTATTGTTAGTGGCAGAGGCTTAAATATCAACGGCTCGATATTGAAGGCGAAGTCAGAGGAGAAAAACTGGGCCACAATGATTTCAAAGTACCATAATAACAATAAAATAGTTTAATAAATCCACCATAATAACAATAAAATAGTTTACTTGTAAAAAAAAAAAAAAAATTATATATAGCATCCCGAATTTCAAACTTCGAAATCTGGTCACCTTAGATCAGTTTGGGTATTTGATGTCTGAATTTCAGACTTTGTATTGCAATATTTTAGACTGATATGTTTATTAATATAAGCACTAAGTTAACCACTGCTTCTTTGCTTTTAGAAATATTTTGCATATTTATTCATGTTAAACATCTATACATGCTTAAAAATTTTATTGTTCCATATGCCTGTTAATTTAAACTGTATTTTGATTTATTTAGGAAAATACCTGGTTGTGGAAATGTTGTCACATTTTTCCAGTTTCTCTTCATTGCTTTAGAAGGTTTTATATTTACCACTAAATTTGGAACGGTAAAACCAGCTGTACCTATTAAGTGAGTTTAAAGATTTGATATTTTACTACAAAATATTTTTTTAGGAATTCATTTGTTATGAACTTGTAATTATGTTAACATTTATTTCTGATCTGACTAAATCATTAAAAATTATATTTTTAGGTATTCATTAGTTTTTGATTGTACTTAAATTAATTGACTCTAAAAATGTTAATGCTCACTTTTTTCACAATTTGACTTTTGCATTTAGAAATATTATAATCCATGCATAGTTTTTGATTGATGAAATATTATATTTCATAAACTATTGGGGCTGATATTCAGCCAAAGCTCACCTATGGCATTTCCTAGGTTTTGAATGAAGTCATAAATTCAGCTCTAGTAGTCTATTGTGTACCTGAATCATAATATAAATAAGAAAATTCTATTATTAATACAGTACAAAGTCCGAAATCCGGACTGGTCGGGACTTCGACGATTCCGGATTTGAGATTTTTTCCGGATAATAGATCATCAATTTAAATCTGGTAAGATGGCATGCAGAAATTATACAATTAAAAATATGAAATTGTAATTTATGAAATAAAGAACAATTATGATCTAAAGGGTATCAAAACTTACAAAAAAAAAAAAAAAAAAAAAAAAAAAAGCCTTAATATTTACTTTATGAAACATTTCTTTCAATGTAAGTTGTTTAAGATGCTTCCACAAAAAATTCAAAAAGTTCCCCCTTTTTTTTTTCTTGTGTCATATACAGTGGACTTTCCAATACCATACTCCTCGTATAATTCTGAGATGGACATGCCTTTATCCATTTTTTGCATCAATTCCACTTTTTGTTTAATGGACATCGAAACATGGTTTCGCTTTGTAGATCCTTTGGCAAGTCCAGAATTGGAAACTCTTTTCGACATAATCGAAAGTTCAAGCTCAGTTTTTATAAAATTGCCGTAATAATAACAGTCTGCAAAAAATAATAAGCTGGATCAAATTAGAAGATTAGGGAGCAGCACAGTGTGCTACATTAACTGAAATGCTTTAGAATCAGTAAAGATAATTTTAGCCTAGCTTAATAGCGACTGATATACTACATTATTGGCTGTGTATCGCAAGATTGGCGACGAAAGCCAAGTTGTTTTTCTAAATTTTGTCTTCCTCCTATTGTGAACTGAATTAAGCCTAAATTTTATTAGTTTAGTTATTTATTATACCTATGTATATTTCTTGCACATGCTTCAAACTAATCCGAGTCTTGAATAAATAAACTCCCACATATACTTAAGGCTTTATCTAGGGCCAGTGCTCGATACTGCCTGGTGCAGTCTCTATGGTTCCTAAATTCTGCTGCAAAGCGTTTTCTTAAGTTCTAAATTTTCACTGTACCTAAACTTTGGATCCCAGTGCTTTCCCTAAATCATAAAAACTTAAATTTATCCCTAAATTTTGCCGCTCGGTGCTTTCCCAAATTCCAAAAATTTCATCTTCTCTAAATTCTGCCATCTGGTGTGGCCATATTCTGCCACCAACGCTGGGTTTATGGTGAATAACATATCAGTTATTCTTAACCCTCAGCTGGAGGGGCTGGCGAATGGTACAATTTTAGAGGGGCAGCGTATGTAGTATGCCAGGTCGTTTTTCGAGCCTCTGCTTCGTTTTTGAAACTATTTAATCTTATACATGGCATTAATAAGGTGATTCATCATAGTAAAAATGATATACGAAAATGAATAATAGAAAAAACGCAGCAAAGATGGAAATTACGAATTTTTAATTAATTCAAAAAATGGAATGCACTCGAAATGTAATTTAAAGTTATATAGTATTCTGTATTATTTTGTGTATGAAAATTATAAGATCATAAATCAAATGTACAAATTATAAATATTTTGTAAAGAAAAGTTCAGTAAGTAATAAATTTTTACAAATGAAAAAATTAAAAACATTTTGCTACTTTAATCCTCTTCAGATTGTCCCTTTTCACTCCAGGGTTTTCAAAGTTGTACTCTCTTGCCCAGATGATTTTTGCAGATAAACTTAGAACACTCAGAACATTTTATTGTAGTATAATTATTCTTCATTATGCCGCACTCAGTGCAGCGTCCTTTGATCTATTTTTGCAGGTGGTTCCTCTTCCCTTTTGGCCGTCTTGTCCGCTTTTGTTGTTACCAGGCTTCTAATAATAGCTTTGGAATGCGACAGGAGAAATGGCATTTTCAGACAATTCTGAAGATGTGGTTTCATCAAAAATGTAGCTAGATTTTTCAAAAAATATCTTCTAAACTTGATGGTTGCATCAGGTTTGGCTAAGTTCCAGAGCACTTGTGAATTTATGCCCACTACTTTTAGCAGTGAAAAAAATATTGCCATTGTCCACCTCTTGGTGTTTTGGGCAGTGGTGAAATTACTACATAATTGGTCTACGGTGTCAACTCCGCCTTTGCATTTGTTATAATCCAGTATTGAGGTTTATTCGTTTCCTGGTCAATTTTGTCATCATCGTGTAAAGCACTGAGTAGTATTACACACTTATTTTTTTCGTTGCATATGAAACAAATGCCATATCCTTTTGAAAACCAAGTAGTGAACTGCCGACTTCTCTTGTTTTTGATGACTAGAATTCATTTGGAATTTCCTTTTTATTTTTTTTCAGCATGCCCACAAGTGGTAAGAAGATATTGAGCTAGCAGGTAGTTTGTATACCAATTATCGGTCGTCAGGTTACTGTTGGAACCTTCGTACGCACCAATTAGCCTTTTGACAATGATGTCAATATTTGAATTAGAAGCCTCGTAAGGTCCTGGAAGTTGATTGTCACAATAAATTTCGAGCTTCAATGCATAAAACGTTCGTGAGTCAACAACTGCAAAAAATTTTCAGACCGTACTTTGCGGGCTTGTTGGGGATGAATTGAATAAAAGAGCATCTCCCACGAAAGGGTTCCAACTTCTCGTCGATTGCGAGTTCGTCACCTGGTGTATAAAAGTTTTGACGGTTCTGATTGAAAGATTCAAAAAATTCTCTTAGTGCAGCAAGTTTATCAGTTTTTCTTTGCACATACCTTGTGCCTTTATCGTCGAATCTAATAGCAGCACACAAGTTTCTGAATTGCTTGAGACCCATGACCCCTTGCAAAATTTCAATTCCAGTACCTCTTTTGCCCATGCTTCCTCCAAATTGAGTTTTGACATTTTTTTGCACCCTGATAAGATTAAAATTCCTAAAAAGGCCAACATTTCTGCTCTATTAGTACCACACATGCTTCTCTTTGAGATCATCTGTTGTCCAGTTACATTTAAGATAAATATTTGTATATTGTACGATAGCATTAATCATATTTGTATTTATGATTTTCTGGAAAGCAGAAAGCTCATCATTTATATCGTCACAAGTTTTGGCACTTGGGAATATTTTTTCCATCAAATGTTTTTAGGTGTTTTGGCGAATTTGCTCTTGAGGGAAACTTTTTTCCTCTTATAAGTTTCCTTTTCTTCTTTCATAAACTTGCCTCCAACTTTTTCTTTTTGAAAATTGTTTTTACAAAATAGTCCTCCTATTTTAAATCACTCATGTCATTTTCAACATCACTAAAATCGTCATTTGTTGGCGAAACATCATTTGAGGAAGGAAAATGAGGATGTTTAGAAACATTTCTCTCAATTTCTGAGTCACTTTCATGATCATAATGTTCGATGACTTCCGATTCATCACCATCAGATGCGTTATCCAAATTGTTGGAGTCTTCATCAACCAAGACTTCTTCTAAAATGCGCAAATAATCTTCAGGAGCTACAATATCCTTTCTGTACATACTTGAAGGAGTGGCGTACTGCATTCGCCTACACGACATGTTCACAATAATTGATTTCGGAAGGAAGATGAAAACCAGACTAAGCCAAAATACCAGATGCATTGCACTCGTGGAATGTTTCTAGGAGGGTAGAGGAAAGAAAGAAGCTTAGGAAGGGGTTGTCAAAAAATTACAGCCCAAAAGATGGCATTGGCATATTCTGTATGCCGGCTCCTCCATTGCAGGGTTAATTAAAATAGCACTAAATGTAATCTTTTAACCTATGAGTTTCATTTACAAAATCTATTTTTAGCATATGAAAAGAAATTTTTGTTGAATTTTTCCTCATCAACATTTCTTAGAGCATTTAAAAATCTATAATCATCGCCAAGCATAATGTTAGCATAAAAGGTTGCCATACTCTTGTTATTCAATTACTAATATAAAAAAGGTTGGTACTTTTCCGTTTCACTGGCACAAATCTCGCCAAGCAGACTTTGTTGGCGACTTCAAACAGTTGTACAGTATACACATAAAACTGTAACAGATGTTAGTTCTAAGAATTTTTTATTTTGAAGCCATAAACATTTTAATATGGTTTAAAATTTTGTAAAAAGCCAATAAATAAAGACAATAAATTTGTAAAGAGACATTAATTTAAGAATTTACTATGCTATCATGGTTCAACATCCTGATTCGCCGGTTCGTATCACGTGACCCCAAGTGATCTCATCTCAGGTAAACTACGCTACAAAAATATAATTCTCTCAGTAATTATCTACATTAATTTCAAGTTAAATCTTAATTTGGAATAAAAGTTTAAATGCGAGAATTATTTCAATTTGTATCAATAGCTTGCTCAGAAATTATGTCAAATTGCAGTGCTTTACTTCGCTAGGGCATTCTCATTAGAATGGATGAATTTAACCCTTGATTTTGCCTATTCTATATTTTCACCTTCGGGTGAGTAGTGTGATTGTATCCTAATTGACTTAATTACCACGAATGGTCTTAGGTCATTAAATTTAATTATCTTTGTAAATATTCTATGTAACTATATGCCAGCATTGAAAGAAACAATCAATCTGGTAAGAAATGGCTGCGACTTGTTTTGAAAATGAGGCGTAAAAGGTTACCAGCGAAATATTCCGTTTGGCATCAGTTGTACCATTATTGGCGACTTTATCGTTTGCGCCGGCAAAACGGAAAAGTACCAAAAAGGTTAGGCATCACAGCATGAGTTATTACTGAAGCTGTCATGTATTGATAAACATCTGGTGATGAAAGCAAAATATAATAAATAATGACTCTCCAGGTCGGCATCAGGGATATAAAAAATAGGCGAATGTTTCGGTTTGAGGTGTAATGCCAAGTAGATACTCAGCTTATTGTTGCCACTAGTAATCACTGCCACTAGCATTCTTCTCTTTGATTAGTTGAGAAAATTCAATCTTATGAATGCCTCTGCATATGATCATTCTGTTTATTAGCATTAATAACAGTTGTGGGATTAAAGAAAATAATAATTGATTTTCTTCTATAGCACCTTTAAAATATTAAAACATTGTTCATAAATGTTTTTGTTTCATTTTCAGTATTTATTCACCTGTATATCCTGCATGTTTAAAAAAATCTGAAAGCTTTCAGATTTTATATTACACCTGAAAGAATTTTTTTTTAACGTTTTGTGTTACGTTTATTTATTAAATATCATATTCTTTGCAATTAAAATACATTAAGTTCAATTCAACAACAATATCACAAAATATTTAGAAACGGCACAACAGCATATTAGAATTTACGATACACGGTCTCACCTGCTGGAGATAAAAATGTTCTTTTTCGCTACAGTGTTGCCATTGCTCGCTTTGAAATCGTTGTGTTTGTTAATCAAAAATTTGTTTTAAAGTTTTACAAAATTTAAAATAGATAATAAAACAAATTCAAAATTCGGACTTCCAAGTGCCCATGTTCGGTTGGAAGACTATATTATTCAAAATTTGATGGCTCTAGGTACCATTGTTTCTTAACAGTGTGAGAAACATTCATTCATTCATGCTGATTCTTCATTATTTTGTTTCTTTAAATATAATAAATGGCAATAATATTTGGTGTGGCAACAGTTTGAAAAGAGAATCAACACAAAATGACGCTTTGAAATTAATAGCCCTTCTGAGCTAATATAATAATGGTAGCTGTAAAAATAAGTTTAATCATGCAAGTCTCACTGTTCCATTGCATTATTTTTTGGTTTGCTCTTGTTCACAGTGAGCTGTCAAACATTGGCAGTTTTTTATAATTATAATGTTTTTTTATTTATAAAAACTTGTAATATATTGCTTAAATAAATATTTGTGCAGTTTCAAACTGAAAATATTTTATGAAGTGGTTTTGTTGAATAAATGCAATTGACGAAATCCTGACATGGTTACTAAATTTGACATCAATATCATGTTATCAAGAACATAAATTACGTTTGGCAATTTATCACTTGATGATTCTGACATCTTAGCACGTTATTCTTATTGCGAGTTCTTATATATACAAAATTTTATAATTTTTTAAATATCTGCTTCATTATATTTTTGCAAGCCTCAGCTCTATGATTAATGTGATCCAATTCCTTTGTGTTTCTTTTATTCATATAGTTTATCTGCTTTTAATTACTTTTTCCGATTTATGTACGAGTTCAGCATATGACAACTGTACTTCCTAATTATCCCCATGATGGGTTGCCATCATTGGCGAAAAATGCTTATTTGGCCCTCTTTATGATTTGTAGATGTTCTTTTGTTCAGGTACATGCATGTGTGGGTTGGCTGCTCTACCAAAAATTGAAACTGGGTATGTGTGAATATTCAGAGTATCATGACAACAAGAATTCTGTTGACTTTTTGGAAATATAACGTAATCCTAGAAGGTTAGACGATAATTTCTATTTCCATGGTTTTGGTAAATTCCAGAGACTCATTATAAAATTAAGATGTAAAACAAATGGAGCAAGATTTAAATACTAGATTAACAGAAGATGTTTGCAATTATATATGCTTACACTAGCTCAAGTATTTAAAGGTGTATTATCTCCAAAAGAAATATGTGGAGGCCATAATTAACACATTACCTTATATAGAAACTGCAGATATCAGTTTATGTGCAAGTAGCCAAATACACTTAAGCAATGTAAAACATAAAGTAAATTATATGAATATATTAGTCTAATCTAAAATATGTGTCAAGAAATATAAATCATCAGGTAATTTCAATCAGCTGACCTCATTTCTAGATATAAAAATTTGGATCTATACTCAGTCAGAAATGTAATGTTATTCAAGATTATAAAACGTTTTGTCATACTTGATATCACTTTAGTATAGTGCTCTACTGTGTATAAATTAAATTAGCCAAAAAAATATTTTTGCTTTATGTAATAATTTTGCGATGTTTTGAAATGTTTTTAAAATTTAGAAATATTAGAATATGTTTGTTTTTATAAAATGCTTCTGCAGGAAATTTGAAAACTACTTTTAAATAAGATCTTAAATATTTTTTTCCTTTCAGAAATTATGCGATTTTAGTCGTGATGTTTTTTGTAGTTAGTGTATCCAACAACTGGGCATTTAGTTTTAACATTTCAATGCCTCTGCATATGATTTTTAAATCGGTATGTATTACAATGTTTTTAATCTATTAGAATTAGTTTTTTTAGTGTTGTATTAAGGTTACATAATTCATTTCATTTATGTATATATATTGTATATATAAATATCAATAATTCACATTCATATCAATACTTCCCATTCATAGTACTTTCTCAGAAAGTCTATTGCCAAACCATAAAACGTGTTCAGTTGAAAAACGTTTCTAGTTTATTGTTTTGAATATGGCTGACAACTAGGTTTCTATTTTTTTAAAGATAAATTTGGCTCTTTGAACTAATAAACCCCTTAACATATGTATTAACAAGATTAAAATATGTAATTATTTCAAAAATTTAATGCAGTTTGAATGATGAAATATATGCATTTTGAGCACGCAGTTATACATACTACAACATTGTGTATTTAAATTTGATATATTAAAAGCATATGACCAAATACACTGCCCTCCAAAAGTTAAGGAACAACATGTTTTTTGTGTCTAAGTTAAGAATGAAGCAACATAGAAACAAGAAATTTACGGGACATGCTCACTAAACTGTTCTTTAATGAATGTGACATAGAATGTTTCTAAAGTTCAACACAGACATGAATTACAACAACAAATTGCAATCTTTGCAGAGAAATCCAGGTTTGGGGAAACAGTATATCATAGTTGAGGAAAAATGGGGTGGTAACATTACAAAAATGGGTTCTAATAAGAAATGTGTCCACCCCTAGCTGCAGTACATTGGCAGCAGCAGCATTCCATGCTGTCAATTAAGTTGTTAGTCAATGAAATGGGAAGCAATGACCAGACACGGAGTAATCCCTGTTCAAGCTCATCTAATGACCTTAGACGGAAGTGGACTTAAAGCAGGAACCTATCTTCCAAGGTACTCCCAAAGATGCTGTATCGGATTCAGGTCTGGGGATTGAGCTGGCCATTCCATCCACTGCATACTGTGATCCTCAAGATTTTCTTCAGCAACCTGAGGTCGGTGCAATCGCACATTGTCATCCGTCAGAAGAAATCCAGGACCAATAACAGTGGCATATGGGCAGACATATTGATCAAGGATCTCGTCTCAATATCTCACACAGGTCAAAGCTCCTTCATGGAACACATGCAGGTCAGTGTGACCACCAAGAGAGATCCCAGTCAAATCATTATTTCACCGCCTCTGTAACTGTGTCTTTCAACAATGTAGGATTGGTTGTATCTGGTGTGTTGGTCCCATCAGATCAGCTGATCTGAATCACTCTCCAATGTGAACCTGGACTCGTCTGTGAAAAGAACAGACACCCATCATTGAATGGTCCAGGAGACTTGTTCTCATGCCCAACATAAGCACCTAGGACATATAGGCACTTTTGTGTCCTAGGGCCAAGGGGACACAACTGGTCGTCTTGCATACAGACCTGTATTGTGCAGGAGTCTGCGTCCTGTAGTAGCTGAGATTCTTGTTCCTGTTGTCACTAAATTATTTGCTATGAGCTGAGGCACAGTAATGAGCTGGCTTCCTTCGGACTGAAAGAGTTAAATAACGGTCTCCTGTAGGTGTTGTAACTCTAGTTCTGCATGGAGCATGTCTTCTAGACACAGAATCTTCAGATTTAAACCGATTCCATAGTCAGTGGACCACAGTATGAGAGACATTGAGACGTCTAGGAGCATCAGATTGTGACATCCTCATTTCCATCCATCCATCTGATCGCCCGCTACCTCAACGAATTCAGCAAACGACTTCTCCTGGACATTCTGGATGACTCTTCTGGATGTTGTCTGTGAAACTGTAATAACAACTGAAGATCAGCACTTGTGGAAAAAAATTAAAATTTTTGCATTTTCCCCTCTAACTCGAAGTGTTCATTTCTATAAAATAAAAGTGATAGCTATTGTTTTTGCATATATTTTCTTAAATTTCATTACTGTCATGCATATGAACTGTGAATTTAAACGTTACTGACATTTTTGTAATGGTGAGTTTTGAAAAATGTGCTATTCCTTAGCTTTTGAAAGGCAGTATATATAGCGAATAAGATGAAAATACATTTTTTTATGTTCTTATTTGAATATAAACTGTGAATATTTTATAAACAGTAAACATGTTACATATGTTAACTAAGCATTACTTGGAAAGAAAATAAAAAATTGGTAATCATACAAACCATTTGACATCTTTGTTATTAATGGGAAAGTAAAAATAGATACTAATGTAACATATTTCCATATTTTTAGGGTTCTCTAGTTACAAGCATGTTGATGGGAATGTTAATATTTAAAAGGAGGTAACTATGATTTCTGAATAATTATATTATATAATGGATAGAAATATATTTTAATGTATGTTAAAGATGTTATAAACTAGAGATAATTTATAGTAACTGACAGTTCCTCAAATACATACCTGCTCAAAAAATAAGTAACAAAAGAAAAACACGGAGTAAATCAAAACCTACTTAAAGTATATGCGTGAAAATGATTCAAGAGGTTGGTGTGGCATTACTAGACCGCATAGCAAACAATAAAGCAAAGATATACAAAAACACGTGTATTGCGACTATCACATCATAAAAGACCAAATGGATCGGAAGAATGTGCTATGGAAACATTAGGCTAATAACGGCTATGATACCCTCTAGCTAAAATGCAATCTTGACAGCAGCGAGGCAAGCTGGCAATAGTATAGTTGATCGCTTGTTATGGCAGTAATGCTCATTCCTGTAGTAATGCATGTTGGAGTTTGCGGAGGGTGTCTGACAGCACACTGAGACCTACTATCTGTCGTCCCAACATGTCCCATGCATGATTTATGGGGTTCAGGTCCAGTGATCTAGCAGGTCACAGCAGATGTGGAATGGTTTCATTCTCCAAATAACTGTGTGCCACTTAAGCTCTATGCGAATGGGCATTATCTCTGATAAATATTGTGTCGGTGCCCATTGCAGCCATAAAAGGATGCACGAGAGGGTGTAGAATTTCGTTGTGATATCGGAAGCTGTGATGGAGCAATCAGGAATCACATAGAAGTTGATGTGGCGTTGTTATCCCATCCCATACAATAAGCTTACTTCTCTGTAATGGTTATTTTTGACGATGTTTGGCACCTGATGGTGTGTTCCTGGCTTTTGGCATCTAATTGAGCTTCGGAGATTGTTGTGGATGTTAAATCGAGACTTATCCGTAAAGAGTACAGGACTCCACTTCTCTGGTGTCCAACTGTGTTGTTCACAGGCCCAATTCAATTGCTTTGTGGCATGCAGTGGGGACGATGTAACACAAACCACAAGTTGTTGCACATACAGACCATCTTCATGCAGTCGACGCATAACAGTTTGGCAGGATATGTGCCGTCCTGCAACAGCAGAGATGTGATGCCAGCTGTCATGCTGTTAGTGATCTATGGCGTCTTGCATATAGCAATAAGAAGCAGTCGTCTGTCATTGTGGTAATCCTCCAGCATCCAGACACATGTCTTCTCTAACCCATGTTTTTTCTTGGGTTTTGATCCCTTTGGTAACAATTCCACAGCCTGTTTAAGACATTATAACGCACATTCAACTGTCTCGCAACTGTGGATTGCCTTGCACCAGGCTTGCAGCATCCCAGCTGCCCTTCAACATATAATATCATGCAAATTGTCTTCGGCTCTTGCTTTCCACTTTGGCTATCTCGTATTATATGGAACTATCTCTGCTTGCGAAATGATGCATAGGTCCGGCATGTGCGTCATGGTATGACTGTGGGATTGTGTTTTATGCTAAATTTTAGTTATCTATTTGCATTTGAGGATAGCCAGGTCTCAGTGCACCATCAGAAACCCTCCACAAACTCCAATGTGCATTACTACAGGAATGGGCACTACTGCCGTAACAAGTGATCAACTATACTATTGCCAGCTTGCATCGCTGCTGTCAAGTATGCATGTCAACTAGAAGGTATCATAGCCGTTATTAGCACAATGTTTCCATAGCACATTTCGTATATCTTTGCTTTATTGTTTGCTATGTGGTCTTGTAATGCCACACCAACCTCTCGAATCATTTTCACGCATATCCTTTAAATAGGTTTTGTTACATTCTGTGTTTTGCTTTTTGTTAATTATTTTTTGAGCAGGTATGTATTTGAGGATCTATCAGTAACTAAAAATTATCTCTAGTTCCCTCTATTTGCTATGCAAATTGTTTTAATTGTGCTTTTTACATTTGTATCTTTTCTGTTAGTTGCTTCTGTTAGTATGTTTATATATATAAATAAACCATCCCATGCTACTCATGGCATGTTTATCTGAAGTAAAATAGGCATGTCTGATTGAGTAAAAGCATTTTTGAGCCTCCGTATTGGAATTTATCAAAATTTAATATTGTTAATGTTTTTAAATAATGAAAGTTTATCTGAAGTAAAATTCAAGAGCATCATGTGAATTTTAATAATGGGCTGTACCTCGCTAATGTTGTATGCTTTGATATAGCAATTTCTGTAATTTGACACATTTGGGATTTGCCTGTGTGCACAACTGAATTGTGGATCTATCACCAGAGCATTAATAACACTCAGGATTTATATCAGTGTTCATTGTTGCCTGATTGTTTATTCCTACATTTATTTATTATTCTATTTATTCTTATTTGTGTTCTTATTTTAGTTATTTTTTTACATTCAGCTGCATTAAAAGCCTTGCATACCAATTAACACGTTGAGCGCGGTGCCGAATTTGCTGTCCTTTCCGTTCAGCCGGCAGCGAGCTAAGCTGTATTTTTGTTTAGAATATTTCAATACATTTTATTAAAACTAAATTTGATCACATTTCATTGAGACTATATTTATTTTTTAACTCTAATACTGTGGGTCCCATGGACCGACGCCAGCCAAACGAAAATTAGGGACCGACACCGGCCACATGGAAAGTTCAAGGGACCGGTGCCGTGCTCAACGTGTTAAGTGACTAGCAGGTGCAGAAGATAATGTAAATGCTAACAACTGCCAATGTTATCTTTGCTTTTTATTGAAAATTTTAGATGGAACACTTGACAAAACATTGCATAAATCCTATCAGATAAAATACAGTCATTACTCAACAAAAATAAAAGTGTTAAAATTTATTTTGTTGAAAATTAAAAGCATTTCTGGAGAGAGCTGTTTGAGCTGGTTAGATTTTTTATAGAGAAGTAAAGCTAGAATATGTGAATATATAGACTTTCTAATATGCAGCTTTGATCTATTTTCGAAACCACTATGATGGATTTATAAAATGAGCTAAGAAAGTGTAGGTATTAGGTGAATAACACTAGTATACATTGTTTTCCAGATGTTGATTTTTATTTGCCATTTATCTGAGGTTCAGCCATGTCCAATTCCTAAGGTTGCTGGATTTAGGAAGCACAACCTCTGCTTAATTTCAGTTGTAATAAGAATAATTTCATAATAATCAAATATTTTATATAAAACGTAATATGCAGCATGTGATGGAAAGTGTTATACGTGTTTGAATTTAGCAATTTTTATATCAACTAGCCACTTGTGTGGCCAGCTGTCTAATATAGGTATAAAAAGGGAAAAATATATAATAAGTGCAGTTAGTATAATTTCCCTGGGTCCAGCTAGTATAACTTCATAAAAATATTTAATGATTTTAATAATAAACCAAAAGTATTGCTTTTGTGATTATAGTAGACACTGCTTTATGTGATCATGGTTAATGCTAACATTTGGATATTATCAAATTGCCGAAGTGGCAAATTTGCTCCATACACAAATAAGTGGGACTTCGGTCCCGCTTATTTGTGTATGGAAACATACAACACAGTAAAACAGCAGATCTTTAGAATTTCCGATACACAGTCTTGCATACTGGAGATAAAAATGTTTTTTTCTATACATTGTTGCCATTGATCATTTTGAAATCATTGAGTTTGTTAATCAAATATTTGTTAAAGTTTTACAAAATTTGAAATAGGTAATAAAATAAAGTTCGGGCTTCCGAGTGCCCATCTTCGGTTGGAGGATTATGTTATTCAAAATTTCATGGCTCTAGGTACTGTTGTTTTTTTTTACAGTGTGAGAAACATTCATGCAGATTCTTCATTATTCAGTTTCTTTAAATATAATACATGGTGATAATATTTGGTGGCAATAGTTGGAAATGTGAATCAACACAGAAAGTGAAACGACGGAAAATGCCATTTTGAGACTTATAGCCCTTTGGGTATGCCTCTTCGGACTAATAAAAGGGAAATTAGCAAATAAGATCGAAATAGATAAGAATTGGCAAGTGAAAAATATACCACCAAGTAAGGGATTAAGTTGCCAAACATCTTGATTTTGATTTTAATCAAAGATTCATAAATTATTCATTTGTGAAGCCTCTCAGACACAGGTTCTTCTTAAAGAGTCTAAATAATTATAATAATTAGGATTTAGTTTTCCTTGTGCAGGGGAAAGGGGCTAAGATTCCTGAAAACATCTATGAACTAAGGTTGCTTTTTGGTCTGTAGACAAATAACTTCCATTAATATTATAGAGTTTATAAATGACTTTCTGCATTAATGGCATTATCACGAAGTCATAAACAAATGTTTAAATTTATCTGATTAAAATGTTAAAGTCCCTATCTACATATTTCTAGTTATGTTTATAATAAATTAGTTAAATTCCATTGCTATTCTGAAAGATGTCTTTTTCTCATCATTTAATGTTATCATTCAGTTAATATTATCAATATATCCATGGACAAATGTGATCCTATCAAGTGGCACCTACTGTTTGGCAATTTAATCAATCTTTCCAATCCAAGATTTTAGACTTTAGATGGAATAGAAATTATACACTAAACTGTAGCTTACTGTATAATTTCTTTAATATTTTTAACTGCTTTTAATTATGATCTGAAAGGTACTGGAATAGAGAAAAATGGTTTAAAGCATTTTATTAAACAGTTCAACGTGGAATAAGAAATATGTATCAACTAATTTCTTTCCGTCAGACCTCCTCAATGTTTGGCATGTTATTGCATTTTTCAATACATGTTGGCAGTACTAATATTAGTTCAAATATCAATTGTTTTATTTTGTTTTCGGTGAAGGATTTGATGACAGAGAACACAGTGGTCATTCTGCAGCAATCCATCATATTTATTGTCTGTAGTCATTTTCCCCCCTACCTCTGCAACAAAGCCTGGCGAATCTTTCTCAAAGAATCATAAAGAGAAACCACACACACACACACACACAAAAAAAAAAAAGAAGCTTTAAAGTGATATCACTTCATGTAAGATATCTGGACAGTTTAAACATAATGAATACTGAAGAATTTTCTTATTATTATTATCATGAATCCAGCTAGGCAAAGCAGTTAGTTAAATGATTTTTTTTTTTAAATCAGTAAAAAAGTTAAAAAAAGTATTTTTAAAACCTGCACTTATTGTTTTTTAATGTTACATTTTTTCATCAGTATCGGACAGATTAAATTTGAAAGTTAAATATCTTATGCTTTGCTGACACTGGCACATGGATGATAAAGTATTTATTTCTGGCAGTGGCAACACTAAATAGCCAGCTTTTTAAATTAAATTTGAAACATAAATATCATGCATTTTGCCATTGGCAGCATACTTGTGCACAAAATATTAAAAATATTTTCGTTCGAGCAGTGGCAACACATTGCTTTTAAATCACCGAGTTTGGTAATGAAAAATTCATTAAATTTGTACAAAATATGAAATAAAGAACGAATTCAAAATTCAGACTTCGTATTGTACACATATGAATGGAGGACTGTGTGTTAAAAATTTAGTGGCTGTAGGTCAGGGGTTCTTAACCAGGTGGATCCCCCCCCCCGTTAGGAATTTCATAGTTTCACAGGGGATACAGTCAGCCTTTATCTGTTAAGTATTTAGTTGTAGTGTATGAATATAGAAAACTACTTCAAGGTTTGATATTTATAACATTTTTTATACTTTTCCTTGTTTAATTTATAAAACACATTAAAAGATAATCTAAATTTAAATGCATAGATATATTTCAAATTTTGGAAAGGATGATTGTCTAGCAATAGTGAAATGGGTGCATGGGGAAAGAACCATTGCTGTAGGTGCTGCCATTTTACTCAGTGCAATAAACAAACAAGCAAATATGTATACAAAATACATAGCAATTTGTCATTACGTACACATAAATACGTAGCAAATTGTCGTTAAATAACAACAGAGATTATTGAGGAAATGTTTCATTTAACAGGTACACAATTACTAAATACTTATCAGTGTTGATGGTGTCTGTGGGAATTTTTATTGCAACATGGGCATCACAAAATTTAAAGGTAATGTATGACTTCATTTGAATTTTCTGCATTTTGAAATTTTAGTTATTAAATGAATTATTAACTTTTGTTTCCCTTTCCTTAATCTAGTCAGGTGGAGAATACTCAAGTTCTACAGCTTTAAATCAGTCTGTAATTGGTAGGTTTTTCTTATTTTTGTAGAATAACATGTTTGATTTATTTTATGATTTAAAATTTAATATGATATATCATTCAAAAGTTTTATTATTTTATTACTACACTCACGTTTGTGAAAATTGCAACACTATGAAGGACTTACGCGAGTGAGCTGAAATTTTCAGGAAATGCAAAGTAGCGCATGATATGCAAATGATTAGAATTGCAAATCCGTAGCGCATGCGTTATGCTGAGCAGCGCCCTCTGAACGGCTGATGGATCCGAATAAATAGACGGGTTTGTAGGAGGCGTGTATGGTTATCGGTGGTTATCTGCAGTGGTAAACGTTAACTCAATCTGTACTTATGCCTCGTCGACGAAAGAGAGCGAGATTTGAAACAACTTACAGAGTTGAACGAGGGAGAATCATCGGCCTTCGTGAAGCTGGATTGTCGTATCGTGCAGTAGCCTCTCGTGTGCAGCGTAACAGCAGAACAGTGATGCGCGTTTGGAAGCAGTGGACGGACGAGTGTCGGACAACTCGGAAATCCGGGAGTGGACCCCGAAATGTGACGTCAGCTCGCGATGATAGACACCTGGTCCGCATGTCGCGGATGGACCGTACAGCTTTCCTCTAGACAATTGGCAGCACTGTGGTCAATAGCTACAGGTGTTTCATTGTGTGCTTCATCAATTCGTAGACGTCTGCTGCAGTGTGGACTGCGCGCACGGACTCCTTTATACAGGATCCCCCTAACGCACGACCATCGCCGCCTGCGGCTACAATGGGCCAATCAGCATAGAGACTGGCGTGCTGATTGGCAGCATGTCGTGTTTCTAACGAATCCCGCTTTAAATGTTGTGGTACCATGATGGCCGCATTCGTGTCAGACGCTATGCCGGTGAACGCCACCTTCCGGAGTGCATTATCGAACGCCACAGTGGACGAAACACCCAGAGTTATGGTCTGGGGGCGCCATAGCATATCATAGACGATCTCAATTGCTACGAAATTGTGGGCAATCTGAACAGCAACCGGTATATCCGTGAAGTTCTACAGCCCGAAGCTGTTCCCTTCCTTCAAAGCTTGCCAGGCGCTGTATTTCAACAGGACAATGCCCGCCCTCATACTGCTCGGATTGTTAAATCCTTCTTTGCAGCGCAGCAGGTACAGCTTCTTCCTTGGCCTGCGTGTTCCCCGGATATGTCGCCAATTGAACATGTGTGGGATGTCATTGGTCGGCGTCTTGCTGACTCTGATCCTCGTCCTGTTGCGTCTGCAGACGAACTTTGGGTACGCGTAAAAACGATATGGAATGCTCTTCCTCAGTCAGACATTCAAACTTTGTTTGACTCCATGCCACGTCATGTAGCAGCACTTATTGCGGCGCGTGGTGGCCACACAAAATACTGATTCTGATCTCTTGTTATTGTTTGTTTGCTTTGAACATTTAATCATTTATTTGTACCACTACCACTCAACTGTGTATTAAATTGCATTCAATTATGACGATTCCTTCTTGGTGTTGCAATTTTCACAAACGTGAGTGTATTTAATGTAATGATGTAAATTTAATCCTATTGTAGGAAAAAAAATGAGTATTTTATTTATGAATTGAGTTTTATGCAATATTGTTTAAGACATGAAGTCTGTATATTTATCATGAAATACAATTTATACTCTTTTTGATAAAGCATTTATTTATAAGCCACAATTATTAGAATGTATTCCAATGACAAATGTGTCTACAATAAGCAGAATTGGTTTCTGGAAACTTCTCCCCCCCTCCCCCCCCCCCTTTTTTTTTTTTTTTTTTTTTTTTCATGGAACTAGGTGTGGGAAATAAGGTGGATGTTCTTAGATTGGAATCTAGTTCTTCGCTAAAAACAACTTGGTTGGCAAGGTATTATGGCAAAGAATCCATGAGCTATTCTTACATGCGTTAGATTTTTTCCCCTTCTTTCATCGTAAAAAATTGTCAAAACCTCCTTGTAGTAGATATCTTTTAGTTTTTCAGGTATTTATTCCATATAAATACTTTTTTAAGTATTGGGAGAAAATTGTTCCCTTGTTTTGCTTTGACCTGCCTTTTGTGCCACTGATGAAGTGTTATCTTTCATCTGCCAAGATTCGTATGTAGGTCAGTGTCATATTGGGGCAGGACATTATATATTGCAGTTTATAACAATTTTTAAATGTGAAAGTACAAATGAATGTTAGTACGTCAATCTTGGTTCTGTAGAATAAGCAATATATACAGTGGATGGACAAAAATATGGAAACACCTTGCGAAATGCATGTTTGAAAAAACAGATTGATTTTAATGAAATATGTAGGTGGCGCTGGCGTTTTTGACTAATGACGCCACCTATACAACTTCGTAAATGTGCTAAACAGTTCAGTTGTTGTCGGAGTACCGTTATGTGAGGTTGTCATTGCATTATGTCAGAGTTAACAGACTTCGAACGTGGGCAAATTGTTGGAGCACGTATGGTAGGTGCTTCCGTAAGCAAGGTAGCCGAGGTGTTTAGTGTTTCAAGAGGTACTGTATCGAAGATTTATTCCGCATATGTGAAAAGCAAAAAAACATCATCTGCTAAATCACAGCGCGGACGAAAGTGTGTCCTGAGTGATCGTGAGAGACGATCATTAAGGGCAATTGTGATGAAAAATAAGAAGACCACAGCTGCAAAAGTTACTGCTGAAATGAATGTTGTGTTACCGAACCCTGTGAGTACCAAAACAATTAGAAGGGAGCTTCATAAACAGGGAATTGCTGGCCGTGCTGCAATCGAGAAGCCACTCATCAGTGATGCTAATGCCCGTAACAGGAAAAGGTGGTGTTTAAGTCATAAAGCCTGGACTATAGAGCAGTGGTAGCGAGTAATATCAGGGTTACCACGCTACCTGGAAAACCGGGAGAACCGGGAAAAGTCAGGGAATTCAAAAATTGACCAAAATATTCAGGGAAAAGTCAGGGAATTTAAGTATTTTTGTCAAAATCTGGAAAAGTCAGGGAAGTTCATACAAACGATCCCGCCAAAAAAGCGATTTTTGTGCCGACGTCGGAAGAGGTAACTTTTTTGGCGAATTGTGTATCACGTGAGCCTCATTCGGGCAGCTGGCATAGAGCCAATTTTACGCCAGCTCCAATTTGATTGTCTTTTAGAAATGGCAAAGCAAGTTTCCCGCAACTTTTGGTTTCCAGCAATTCTCGAGAATCGTATGAGAAACGCATGTGCAGTGCATGTTGAACTAAAGAAATTTACTTATGTTCTCGTATAAAACGTAAAATCGGTTTAATCTACGGTACCATGCGGTACCATAAATACGGTACCATGGAGGTTAGAATCAAAGAATATGTATTGTAAAGAAGGAAAACCTTCTCTGCAATAGACAGGGCTGTGGCTCCGATCCAATCATAGAAGGGAAACAGCTGTGTATGTGCTGAATATATCTGTCGCCAAAGCTTCGAAGCCAGTGTTCGAAGTTCGAAGGTCACGTTCATCAAGAGTTCATAAAATGAATATCGTTTTTTAAAATTCTTTAACCACTTGCGCTAAAAAGACGTGCCACCACACGTCAAGATGCTTTGTCTCAAACCACGAGCGACGTGAACACCACGTCGATAAGCATTTATCGCCAAAAAAAATGAAAATAACGTGGTTGCACATGTCGCCCTAACAACGAGATTGTTTATTTCTCGAGTTACAGCTCTGGATTGCACTCACAGATGCGGAGCGGCGTAAATGAGACACTTTACCGCTTGTTATATTGTAGCGCACGGCACCGCAAACCGTGAAGTTTAGTCTTAGCGCAAGTGGTTAAACTCTAAAGGGAAAAGAACAATATTTTTTGGCGCAAGTAAATTAATTCATGGATTAGTTATTTTCAGAAAAAAAAAAAAAAAAACCCCTACTACGAAATCCGTTTTTAAAATTATTGTGAAAAATCCAAGAAGAAACGTCCTTTGATAAAACGTTTCTTCTTGGAATTTTCGCAATAATTTAAAAACGGATTTTCGTAGTTTTCTTTTTGTCAAAGAGCGTTTCTTCTTAACATGTGTTTCTCAATTTCCTGTACACATCGCGGAGAGGGAAATTCTGACCGCCAGGTTCCGTCGCCAAATCCCTTGGCAAATTTTCCCTCCGCATTCTAGCGGCGTAATAGCATTTCACTTGTATGGAACCTTTTCTTCTTTACATAGACGCTCTTTGGTTAGAATAATAATGGGATTTGGCGACATCTTGATGCGCAGTAAACGGGTCATTTTGGTCTTGGCGACAATTTTCAAAATCATGCCAAAGTCTTACCGTATACTAGAATTTTACTGCAAAATCTTTTTAAACCTTTTTTTTTCTTTTAATAAATACCTTGCCATTTTGCGGTAAAATAAAAAAATAGTAATCAGTCATCTAGGCTAGCCATGTATTATAACTATATTCGCTAAAATATACATGATTATTCTAATTCAATTTTTAAGTAATCATTTTTATGTTATTCATATAATTTAATGTTGCTTCTTCCCTCTAAATTATTTATTATTAGTAAATAATATTTCCAAATTTCAGGAAATTTTCTCTGGCATAATCCTGAAATTAAATTATAGCACTATGATGGCATACCATCACGAAATTTAATGCACATATTTTTTTTTCTTATGTATGCTGCAAAATAAATATAAAATACCTCAATTTATTAAAATAGATTTCTTCTTTCGTTTAGCTGCAGAATGTCTGCAAAAAAGCCTTATTTTATTCCAGATTGGGAAGATTCTAATCTCTATCTTCAGTGTGGAGAAAAAAACAACAACTATTATAATTATATTTGTGTTTTCAAGTGTGAAGGTTTTAAGAAACATACCTCACGCAAATTAAATTTACCTAAAATCTAACCTAACTATTTAGCATTGCGTTGTGATTATAAGGACCGGATTAGCCTCTTGTTGAACTGGTGATGATCATGAGTAATAATTAAATAAAACATACATTTGTTATCCAATATATATATCTTAAATTTTATTAAGTTTCTTAAGTGGAAATCTAAACAAAATTATCAAACAAAGTATACCAAGAATAATTAAGAATAAATGTCGTCTGGGATTTATTGAATAATTAAGTGAATTTGCTACACAATACAAGTAATACTATAATTAATTTACCTCTTAGCACAGCCAACGTACATTACGCGGATAGACTGGAATTTTCTTGAAACACACCTGGAAAACCTGGAAAAGTCAGGGAATTACATTCTCCTGTTTGAGTGGCAACCCTGTAATATGGTTTGACGAGTCTTCTTTCACATTGTTTCCCACTTCTGGCCGAGTTTATGTCTGGAGAACGCCATCTCAAGCCTATAATACAGACTGCTTGTTGCCAAGAGTGAAACATGGCAGGGGTTCTGTTATGGTTTGGGCAGCCATATCGTAGTTCTCTGCTAGCCCCATGATAACTGTGTCAGGGCACATGACTGCCAAGACTTATGTGAACATTTTGGCCGATCAAGTTCATCCCATGGTAGAAACTTTGTTCCCCGATGGTGATGGTGTCTTCCAAGACGACAAAGCCCCTGTTCACACAGCTCACATTGTCCAGGACTGGTTTTCTGAGCACGAGGATGAGTTGTCCCATCTCCCCTGTCCACCACAGTCACCAGACGTGAGTATTATCGAACCTTTGTGGTCTACATTGGAACGGAAAGTGCGTTCTCGTTATCTGAACTTGCCACCGTTTTGCAGGAAGAATGGTATAATATTCCCTTGGCAAACATACAGGAACTGTATTTATCCATTCCGAGAAGACTGCAAGCTGTTTTGGATGCCAACGGGTTTCCTACACCATATTAAGCAAAGAAACATGTTTTTTTATAGGTGTTTCCATATTTTTGTCCAACCCCTGTAGGTAATCTTTAATAGCTTTTCTCCTCTGTTAAAATCTCTTAAGCCAATTCCAAAATTTGTGAAATAAATAAGGATTCCTGTAATCTTTCTGCAGAAGCTTTGTCACTATAGACAGTTTACCCATTTTCATGTAGAATTCCATGGTGATGTGATATTAATATTACAACCAAATACTTAGATTCCAGTGGATGACAGAAACATGCAACATTTCAAACAATGTTTGCTGCTGAACTGAATGCCTCTTAACCTTTAAATGCTAACCTTAAAAGAAGAAATATTGGCCAATCACACATTTATCAGCATCACTAAATCTTTTTTTTTTTTTTTTTTTTTTTTTCAAGATCACGGTAGTGCAGGGAAAAGTTCAGTCCTTTTATTTTTAAGCCATATCTTGTAGGAATTCTTTCTTCATGAATTTCTCTTAAGGACAAATTATTTCATGTATGTGAGAAATTTGTTATTCTATGAAATTAAGGGCATATTTTACAAACTATTACATTGCTTGTAAATTATTACATTGCTTGTAAATTATATATGCAAATATTTATATCTTCAATTATTGCTAAATTAATTCTACTCAATTTTAAATTAATCCTATTCAATTGTTATGAGTAATAATCATTACAAAGTATATACTACTTGAATTTCAGTTCATTAAGGTTTCTGTATTGCTAAGTGTTTTTCTGTCAGTTGAAGTATACAAGGTAAATTACTGTGATAGTATCTCTTTTGTGATACATAATATTTATTTAAGGTCTTTTAGAGCCAAAATTATAATAAGGACTTTGTAAAGAACACTGGTTAAATAAATTAATAGATTAGGCCATTAATTTTCTCAGCAATATTGAAAATTTTAAATTTCTTTGATCCTTTGTGCCATTTTTATATCTCTGTGCTGAACAGACTGGATTATGCGTATAGTTCTTTATTATTTCCTCGCCTTTTTTAATTGTCCGTAACAATATTATTCTAAATTTAATGAATAAATTTAAAATACCGAATATGTGTCACTAATTTGATCATCTTTCTTTACCTTTGTTCGTGCAATGGCAAGAACTTCCATTTCTCATTTTGTAGATAATTATTTCCAGTTCTTTTGTTTCATCTAAGCCTTAAATCTAAAAACATCTTAAGAGTGTTGTCGAAAATTAAATAAGCATTTTAATTAATTGCTGTTTTATTTATGATTATTAAGTTTACAAAAGAAGTATGTTTTAATTTATAATTTTTGCATTTCATATACTGATAGCATCTTAAACTAAAATGCAAAAAAGAATGTATTTTCAAATCAAAATTCCCTATGAGATCAAAACTTCTACTGCAAAAATTTGAGAATCAAATGCCATACCAAAAACGACTTTTCTTAGGGTATATTTCATTCTTTTTCTTTTTGAATTGCATATATTCTTCCCAGAATAAACTGTTACAGTTTTTTTCACACATAGTATTAATGTAAGTTTGTAAAAGCAGTTCCCTTTAATACCTGGTGTAACTGTACAAATTACAATATTTCTCACTTCCTATCCATTAACTATTTTTATATTTAATATGCATTATGTTATTGGAGATATTTAAAAATAACACAAATTTCTAAACATTTATTTTCATATTATCAGGAATATTGCTGTTATCATTTTCCTTGATTGTATCAGCTGGATTAGGCATTTATCAAGAATATATATTTAAAAAATATGGAAAACATCCTCGAGAAGCACTTTTTTATTCTGTAAGTAACCATTACAGTTTGAATTAAGAATCATATAATATTATTAAATTATTTAAATTTCATAATAATGAACTGTATAACATTTTTGTTTCCATGTGTAATTGTTCTGTCATGTCTTAGAACAAACAGTTAATCACATGTATATTATTACATTTCATGTCTAAATAGTTCTAATAAGATTAGATATAAGTCATTCAGAAATGCAGGGAAAGGTATGTAAAATTCTAAGAGTTAATGAATACCTTAAATTTGAATTATGGCGCTAGAATTTTCTTTACCTTCAACTTTTCCTATCCTCTATGTTAGTGGTTCTGTTTTTTTTTTTTTTTTTTTTTTTTTTTTTGCCCCATGCAACCGTTTCACTAGATCTAGATGATCATCCTCCCAGCTTCCTATTTTAAAATTAAAAAAATACATTACTCTGCGCAAACAAAAAATGGGAGAGTTCTATATCTCCCGTTCTACTGGACGGATTGACAAAATTCAAATTGCGTTTTTCCATATGTCAAAAGCTCGTTTTAGAATATGTACAGTACAAAGTCCAAAATCCGGACGTCCATTATCTGGAATAATCTAAAATCCGGACCTCAAAGCCAAAAACTTTTTTTTTAAATGCTTTACGCATGCACGTTTGATTTTTCCTTTCACAATAAAATGTGTGGAGATTTTCACTTAAAAATTTCGATTCTTAATTTCACTTAAGAACTAAATAAAATATCTCATTATAGAACAACAATCATGTAAGCATAGATTTGTGAGATTAATAATTTCGCTTACTAGTTGAGTATCTGCTTGGCATACATCTCAAACCAAACATTCACGTATTTCATATCCGTGATGCCGACATGGCGAGTCACTACTTATTATATTTTGCTTTCATCACCGCATATTTATCAATACATGACAGCTTCTGTAATAACTCATGCAGTGATGTCTAAACTTTTTTATATTAGTAATTGAATAACAAAAGTATGGCAACCTTTTATGCTAACATTATGCTTGGTGATGAGTATAGATTTTTAAATCCTGAAATAAAAGTTGGCGAAGAAAAATTCAACAAAAATTTCTTTTCATATGCTAAAAATAAATTTTGTTAATGAAACTCATAGGAAAAAAGATTACATTTAGTGCTATTTTAATTAAGAATTAACTGATATGTTATTCACGATAAACCCAAAAGCGGTGGCAGAATTTAGGGAAGCTGAAATTTTTGGAATTAATATATGTGGAAGTTTATTTATTCAGGACTCAGATTAGTTTTAAGCATGTGCAAGAAATAAACGTAGTTATAGTAAATAACTAAACTAATACAATTCAGGCTTAATTCAGTACGCAGTAGGAGCAAGACAAAATTTAGCGAAACAACTTGGCTTTCATTGCCAATCTTTTGATACACAGCCAATAATGTAAAACGGATGCTATTAAGCTAGGCTAAAATTATCTTTACTGATTCTAAGGAATTCTATTAATGTAGCACAATGCACTGCTCCCTAATCTTCGAATTTGACCCAGCTTATTATTTTTTGCAGACTATTATTATTACGGAAATTTTATAAAAATTAAGCTTGAACTTTCGATTATGTCGAAAAGAGTTTCCAATTCTGGGGCTGCTTAAGGATCTACAAAGCGAAACCATGTTTTCATGTCCATTAAACAAAAAGTGGAATTGCTGTAGCTAATGGATAAAGAAAGAAGGAAATGGAGAAGTATGTTATTAGAAAGTCAACTGTATATGACATAAGAAAAAGGAACTTTTTGAATTTTTTGTGGAAGCAACAACTTAGATTGAAAGAAATTTTTAATAAAGTAAACAAATAAATAGTAAGCTTTTTTTTTGCAAATTTTGATACCCTTTAGATCATAATTGTTCTTTATTTCATAAATTACAATTTCATATTTTTAATTGTATAATTTCTGCATGCCATCTTACCAGATTTAAATTTATGATCGAATATCCCGAAAAAATCCCAAATCCGGAATTACCGAAGTCCCGAGTCCGGATTTTGGACTTTGTACTGTAGGTATTTTGACACAAAATCAGATTTTTTCTGAAATAACATACCAATTTTTTCCATATTTCGATTCTATGACTTAAATTATGCCTAGATATTAAATTTTGTAGTTTTTAGTGAGAAATTTGTATACAAATTTAAAAATTTGATCTTGATGAATTTTTTTTCAATTTGCGCCAAGAATAATTCACTTGGTGAACTTCTTAATTTATAGCAACCTATTTTTCTTTTCCTTCATTGTCCACAATAAAAAAAAAAATGTCAGCGTTCATACTTTCAAATAATTTTAACAAAGTGCATAAATCACATTTGATGTTATTATCGCATATAATAAATATGCCAAATTTCAAAACATGCCAAAATGTAAATTCAGGTATATCTTAGGAAATTTTGAATAAAAAATTATAATTTTTTAGCAGATATGCTTAGAAAGACGTCTTTAAGATAATGGCAAAAAATTTTATAGGTTAAAATATTTTTTCAAAAAAAATTATAAAAAAAAATATTTGAAAATAGAAATTATAAAAATTAACCATAAAAAGGTATGAATTATATTTGGATTAAGCCTAAATTTTGAATTCTGGGAAAAAGGAATCTAGTAAGTTTAATAAAAAAATAAATATTAATAAATATATAGCAAATGCAGTTAAACACTGAGAAGCTAAAATTTTGAGACTTAATTTTTTAAAAACTATTCATGTGATTTTTACAAATTTTGACAATTTGGTATAATTTGAATCTTAGAATCAAAATATGGGAAAAAAATGGCAGTCATTTAGAAAAAGTCCGTTTTTTTGTCAAAATACCTGTATTAGAACAATGCTGTATATAAATGTAATTTTATCCAAAGTCACACTGTCGAGACGTGAAAACCGCAAGTTGAATTTCGTCAATTGGCCCACTAAAACGGGCAATATAGAACTGTCTCATTTTTTTTCGCAGTGTACACTTATATAAATTTATATTATTTTTTAATGTGTTTTATAAATTAAACAAAAAATGTATGGAAAATATTGATAATATCAAAATTTGAATAAAATAATTTTTTTTATATTACTTATAAATAAAGGACTGATTGAATTCCCTCTTGAAACTTTGAAATTCTCCCCTCCCCTGGTTGAGAACCTTTGCTGTTTATGGATACCCATGATTCAAACAGAACAAAGAACATTGGTGAAATATTAGTTGAAACATTGGTGTAACTTTTCAATGGATATTTCTAGGTAATGATCAATTCATAATAAAAAATTAATTAATATTTTTTTCTGAGCTTTTGCATACTTTTAGCTATTTTTCACATTTTCACTGTAGAAACGTTCTTAGAGTCTGTAAAAAACCTTCACAGAAGTGTGCTGCTTGAAAGAAAAAATCATTCTTAGACCTTTGTTTTAACAATCATTCTTAAATCCTTTTAAACTCAACAGTTTGAAAATATTTGCCAGTAGTGAAACCTAGAGTCATCTTGATGCCAGCCAGGTGAACTGTAAAAATTCTAATAAAAGCAAAATATTAAATTTTGTTTATATGTCTTGCTTTTCACAAAGCAAAAAATGCAAATGACTTTGCATGAACAAGAAAATATTAAAAAGAAATTAATTAGAAAAAATATCACAATATCATAACTACATGCTAATATGTTACAAAGACTAAATTTAGTTATGCAGTACAATTTATGCCAGAAACTGCCACACGTTTTATTCTTTCATATCCTTTTATTTTCTAGAGAGTTCTAATACCGAGTGATGATCTTTCAAAAACATTTTTTCATAAGGATTTTCATAGGATTTAATTCAGATTTCTCATTTAAGAGATTGCTTTTAAATATGAAAATAACATTGTGCAGTCGAAGAAGATCTTGTAGTTTATCAAACTGAAAGCTCGTTTAGACATTAGTAATAATCCTACTCACAGAAACCTAATTAAAGATCCTATTCTCAGAAATGGAAGAACTAATCTAATTATTCTTATCACTTGCAAAAAGTGATTGTCTTGGAATAAACAAGTTAGCAAAGAAAAGGCTTTAACTCTTTGAAATCCAGACCCTTCACTAAACTGTATCCTCAAAATACTGAACCGCCCGAAATACCTTTTCAGTTTCACAGCAATTTCCTCCCATCCCCGTCGATTAATGTAGAAAATAGGTGTGAAGATTTCGAATGACATCCTTTGTACTTTCTAACAAAAAATCCATTATCCTTTGACCCCGTTCTTTATAAACCTATTCTGAAGGTCATTCTGAAGATCTGAACAAGCCTTGCTGGCTTTGTTATGATCACGACTGAGATTTTGTTTACTTCCATTATTTTTAAAGGAAGGAATAAATTGATTAAAAATAAATATAATCCTTAAATTTTTAAACTGCACTTTTATTGCTATTAAAAGCTTAAAAGCACACTGTACCAAAAAAAGAATCAACAACGAATTGTCACGAGTAACTAAAAGATAAGAAACTTCTTAGGACAAGCTGTTTGCAGTAAACTTGTACAATGCATTTGGGGACACTGTACCTGCTTACTGCATAGCTTAGGGGGAGGGAAGAGAACAAGGTTGCAATCTTGGCCGTTTTAGGGCGGTTCTGGTTGTCTCGATGTTTGGTCGTCAAAGAGTTAAAATTACAGGTAAAGGGCTCATGCAAAGCCACCAAAGCTCAGCGCTAGTGCTAGCTTTGGGCTATATGGGGTGGTGCTAGCCAAAAAAATTCGACTAGGGCATTTAAGCAACATTATGAAGCCTCGCATACTGCTGGTCAACGTTTCCATTACATTACATGAAATGCATATATTTTTAACATGATTCAAAATGGTATTTGTTTATATGGACGGAACAGACACTGCATATGTGCAAAATAATAAATGAGCATTCTTAAAAAAAAAAAAAAAAAAAAAAAAAAATACTGTCCAGTACCCATTATTTAAATGTATGTAGCTCATTGTTTTATACTGCATATTTTTAACAATTACCCATTTGGTCTGAATTAATGACCAGATACATTTGATTTTGAAGCTGAAAATAATTAAAATATTTAAATATATTTTTTTCAGCATGCTCTCCCTTTACCAGGATTTTTGCTATTATCTTCTGATATAAGGACTCGGATACCATTATTTTCCAATTCTGGTAAGAAACTGCTCAACTTCTGAAAAATATTGCTTGGTAGTTCTTTCAGTGAATGAATTTTTTTCATTGAAATTCAGCTGACATGCTAGTTTTAAATATTATTCTATAGTATAATAAATTTTTAATAAACAACTTTTTTTTATCATGATGTAGAAACTTTGTAAGAATATATATAGACAGAATTTGTTTAGTGAATTATGATTAAATTCACTTCTACTTTCACATATATATGGTAGTAAATTCCAAGTCGAATTTCTAAACCTTTTGTTAAAAAATACATCTTAAGGATTATTTTAATAAATGAAATAGAATATTATATGTTGTTGTTGTGTCCATATTACATGGAACAGTGGTTGCCAGAGGCTACTCTGAAGAGAGGTTGGACTTCTGTTTTCCATCCCCAATTTTGAGGGAGAGAGCACCTTAGGGGGAGGTGGATCCGAGGCTCTCCTACCCCTTTCCTCTCCCACCAGTCCACATGAGAGGACTTTCGGATCACCACATATTTAGAGTGTCGCCATACCGCACCGATACTAAGGATTTACAGACATCCATGTCTTCTTCGGGATTCGAACCCGGGCCCTTCGGTAACGTAAGTAGGTTCCACTAACCACTACAGTCTGGGCGACTGTGGGAGCTATATAGGAGCATTTAATGAGATTTAAACTCATTTGCACAAGATAAATGACTAAAATTACTTTTCTTTATTTTTTATCTAGTTTTCTGTTAGCATAGCAATCTGTTAAGTATCAGATTTCGGCAGAAGAAAGTATTTTGTCATAGCCTTCAAAATATCCCTAAATGGCGTCCTTCTAATCATAGTTGTTGCTGTAATGCAAACCCCACAAAAGCTGTTTCAGTCTTTTAGGAGAAGAAAAATTCTTTAAAAGTCAAATGCAGTGAATACAGTAGATGGAGTTGAAAATCTGCATTGCTGAATGGCTGATCTTGAGTATTTTTCAGTATTGTACTTTAGTAAAAAGAATTTTGTCAAGAATTCAGTCACTGAATGATGTTTGATGTATTCAGTATTAAAAGAAAATCTCCAGTACTTCGTGACATAAATCAAACATATAATGATAGAGAAACAGCAAAGCTGTAAGGGATTAGATGTTCTCACAGAGCACCGCAAAGAAACCTACCATGTGTTTTTTTCTGCAAAGTTCGTTAACAAACTATAAATTTTTACAGAACTAGTCTGTGTAATTGAACAGGTGTAATTAAAACACCTATTTGTGTTAAACTTTTGTTGACAAAATAGGAAGAATTAGGCAGGACACCAGAACTTTACTGGTGGTTTTACAGTTCTGCCCTGTTTTTGATGGAGAATATCTTGGGAGGGAAGAGGAACCGAGAATCTCCCACCTCTCTTTCTCTGCCACCAAACTTCTTAAGGACTTTTGGCTCACCAATATTTGAAATGCCTTCTTTTTGCAGAGCCATAATGTTTAGAAACATCGAAGCGTTCTTCAGGAGTTGAGTATCTGTGCCTACTGATATAACATCGAGCATCTCTAACTACTGTACCAATCAGGGTTCAGGTAAAAATGGGCAGGACACCAGAATTTCATCATTGGTTGTACAGGCATACTCCTGTTGCATTCACTGTGTAGCTGTGTTCCAGTTTTGATGGAGAGCTCTCTAGGGTACAGCTTCCACACTTTCTTTACCAGCAACCACTCAAGGGATTTTCAGCTTGCCAATATTGTGAGCATCCCCGTCCTATCCACACGGATACAAATATCCATGATTTTCCTAGAATTCGAACCCAAGCCCATCAGTGTGGCAGCCAACATGATTAGTCACTGTACCAATCAGGCGGAAACAACCTCTATTAAATTTTACATTGTAAAAGATCTGCGATCTTGTGGGAATTCTACTATTTACCAAATAATAATGGTGTACATATATAGTAATAGCATAATATAGTAAAAAATCTTAAAACGTGTGCATAATTTAGGTTAAAATAACACACCAAATATTAATTTAGAAGTCAAACAAAAAAAGTCAGTTTTATATTTACAATTTTTCACAGGACTAGTTTTGATGGTTTTATCGATGGTTTCCACATTAAAAAAAAAATCTCTGTTCTAGTTAACAACCCTAATTCCAATTCACATTTTCCTTCAGCTTTTAAGGAAATTATGTTATAGTTTTCTTGTTTTATCAATAGATGGCACCAGCAGCTTAACTCCTGCCCAGCCATTCTTATCTTATTCATTTGCTCTTTGGCAGCTGAGAGGATGGTTCGGTGAAACCATCAAAACTAGTCTTGCAAAAAATTCAAATATAATGCTGATTTTTGTTGACTTCTAAATTAATACACATTTACATTTTTAATTGGATTAACTATTGCTTAGCAGATTTCAATCTTATCCGAACAGCTGATTTTCTGTTCTTTTGATTTAATTATTAATGTAGACAAGCAAGAAGTTAATAATTCTTACATTTCTGTTAACTCCCATGAAGAGAGCTATCTGAATCATATCTGGGTGCATATTTATGCTGATGGTTCCATGATAGAAAGCATCAATCATTATGAGTAGTAGAATCTACAGCAACGTTTTTTTTTTTTTTTTTTTTTTTTTTTTTTTTTTTTTTTTTTCCATTCTATTTTGCTGTTGGTACTAATACATGTAACTTTGGAGAGTTGAAAGCTATATATGTAGCTGTTCAGCAGTGTTCAGACAACTTCAGTACAACTGTCATTTTTTTGGATTCAAAATTTGCTAAAAGCCTATCACTAACAACAAAAGTTGTGACTTGGAATGAGTCTGTGTTTGCCAACACCTGCTAAACTTTGCATTATTGCTCTTCAGCGAGTTTCTGAACATCACATTATGGTTTGGAAAGATATGGTAATGCAGATTAGACCAAAAAAAAAAAAAAAATTGCTGCAAAAGCATTTTCACTTATAACTGTTAAATTTCATACAGATTTAAATTTTAAGAAATCTTGATCAAGAATCAGATTTTGGGAAAGTATCTTTCTGGTCCAGAGTTTTCTATTTCAAGCATTATTCACAAATCAACCTGTTGTTCCATTTTTTCTCTTAATAAAGCATAATTGTCTTGGTCTTCATTTGTTTAATAATAGATTAAGAAGCTTGCCTGCTTATTCTCTTTATAACGCTGAGCAACCTATGATGCTTATCTTGATTCATGGGCTGCCACTGAACTGTTTTAATTGTATATGTAAAAATATTGGCAAATGTTATAACTGCCAGCAGCCGACATTTGCCTGACATTAACTGTCCCTCAGTCATTTAATATCTTGCTGGTGATTTCCTTTTTATACTTTCAAATGATAATGCAATTTATTCATTGCATCCTAATTGCCCCATAAATATTACATCATATTAAGGCATTAGAATTTATTAGTGCCTGTCGTGTATTGTAAAGCATTTCATAATGCAATAACTCTTTCCAGTTCCTCAATTCATTTTATGTTATTCGGCTATTTTTAATAGTTGTATATGCGGTTTAATACATTTTATTCTGATGATTAATTTTACCGATTAATTATATTTGATTAGTAAAGGCAGGTAATTAAAACCAAAAAATTTGTAGCTACTAAATAATAAATACTACAGAAAGATATAGGAGATTTTTTAATTAAAACTGCCTCTTAAAGAACATCTGTGTAAGTTTTATGAAACTTTTTCCTTTTTTAAATGCATTTTCATTGTTTAATTTTTGTACTGTGCAGGAAATGTTAAAAAAAAATCTAATTACTATTGTAGAGTCATTAGGTTATTTCAAAGCAGGAGATGTTAAAAATGTGCAATGTCCTCTTCGGGACTCGAACCTGGACCTCTCAAATATGCACCGAGTGTGCAGCCATTACACTTCAAAAGCATGCTAGAGAGAAGTAGAAAATTACCATAAGATCAACTTTTTTGGTTAGGTGGGTCGGGCTGCACCCACTTTTGGTACCTTACGCTATTTACCATGTCACTCTATGTCAGGGCTGAGTGTTGCAGCAGAATATAGTAAAAAAAAAAAAAAAAAAAAGGTACTGCTCCTTTATTACAGAAAACTTAATTCACCTTAACTATTGTGTTGATAGTATTTGATATAGCAATCTTCATTTTTTGTACACTAATCAGTCATAGACTGTGACAGTTACAGCAGTCATAGAATAAGAAAAAAGGCCTCTGTCCTGCAAATTGGAGCAAACAAAGATTTAGGAAATTTGAAACAGATGCTTGGTGTAGGTTGCATTCTTTGCCAATTAGCAAATATTACATGATTCATTTGCCAGTTCTTAAATATATATTTCAGACATCTCCCATTGTAGCCAGCTAACCTTTCTTTATGCCATGTTATTATGCTGTGCTCACACAAGAAACAACATTAAAGAAATTATGTCATCCTGTTATACAGTAATTCTTCACTGTTTAGAATCAGTCATTGAAACTATTTTAAGTAAATTGGGGAAATATTGTGTGTAGGATCAAATCAGTGTAATATATATAAATAGTTTAAGGCAGCAATCTCAATAGTTTTAATAATTCAGGCTTTTGAATATTTAAGTAAATTAAGGAAATTTTAGTGCAAGAGTATATATGCTTGATGTTAAAAATTTTTTAGAAGTTAATTTGTTATTTTTGTACAGTATTATTTGTGGTATTTCTGTTTAAAATGATATATTTATAAATTCAACACTTTAAGAAAATTATGATTTTTTTTATTTCAAAATTTAAAATGTTTTTGTTTTTGAAAGTACTAATATAATTTATTTCATTTCTTTTTTAGAGTCTATTGAACTGTTTTCTCTATTTAGCATTCCATTTTTGTGGATATGTTTAATAGGCAATGTTCTAACTCAGTATCCTTTTTTATCCCCCCCCCAGTTATAAATTCGTTTTTAAACATTTAATTTTTAATTTATGTTAAAATATGTAATATTATTATATTCCAAGAGAATTTGATAACTTATTTTTATCATTGTTTTATAATCAAGAGGTTGAATGTAGCCATTTTTAATTTCTGTCTTGCAGTAAGTCATCTAATAATGTATATTTGATATCAAAAGGAATTTTTTGTTGTTTGCTTTTGAATGGGGGGAGACAATTTTTGTTGTTGTGTGTTTGATTGGAAGAATGTAACATTTCATTTTATTTGCGATATTTGTTATTAACAGTGATTCATATTCATAGTTCAGTTATTTTAAAATTACGTGTTGATTTGCCCAATGAAACATTTACAGGTATTGAAAAATATCAGTGAAATTATGGATTTTCAGCAAAAATAAGAGGTGTTAGTAATATCATCCAGCTTGACAGTTGCTAGGGGGCAACTGATTTATGTTAATTTTCATTTCCATCAACCACACAATCGTAAAAAAAAAAAAAATTAAGTTTAGAGCACGTTGTAGGGTGCAGTTCATCTAGACCAGTGTTTCTCAACTGGATTTACTCCAAGGACCTGTAAAATATTTTGGTATGTTCTAGCAGACTGGTAAGTTTAATAATTCAACCCATTGGCACAATTTTTTCACATAAATAAATCATGAAGACAAAAATAACCAGCAAATATTTCTTGTGGACCAGTGTCGGTCCGTGGACCGGCGGTTGAGAAACACTGATCTAGACATTGTGTATGGATGGTACTGTCTGAATAAGGACAGCTGAAGAATCTGACCCACTGGCAGGTAACATATTGAACACCTGACATTGCCTTGGCTGCATGATCCCCAGTCATAAATCCTGTAGAGCATATTGCTCTGTCAAGCTATGTAGGAACTTAAAAACATCCAGGGAGACAACTGGGATAGAATTTTAAACTGTTAAATAGTTTTGTGGACAGCATGCGTGTGTAAGAGATGCAAATTACACACATTTTTGTAACAATTTTGATTTTCTACACGAATTTAAATATTAATTTTTAAATACTAACGTAACTGGCATCCAATTGGAATAATGTTTAATTATCATCTACAGCATTAAAAATATTTTCTTTAAAAATGTCACTGAAAAATAAATAATGGATCGAAGGCAATATTTTTGCGCTGTCTGAAGAGAAATTTTATTATTCAACTATTGAAAAAAGATGTGAAAAGCGTAGTTTTAATATTTCTACACGTAAAGTAACTGACATAATTAATATGAAAGAAAAGAAACATCGGAGTTTATATCTGACTGGGAAAAAGGCAAAAAAATGCATATCCAGCAAAGGTACGTACGGCTCTTATTAAATCTAAAGTTGTATCTCATGCTTTAAAGGAAAATCCAGCCCCCCAAAGAGCTATTTCAAATCTTTAAATATCTCTGTAGGAACTGTGAACAAAATTATAAAATCTGATTTAAACCTAATCGAAACAAAAAACATCTTCATCGCCTAACACTGAAACATATTTATCGCCTAACACTGAAACATATTTATCGGCTTAAGACTATGTGCAAATTGCTGTATAAAAATTATTTGGCAGGTGAGAAATGGAAATATATAGATACAATTGATGAAACTTAGGTGTACTTATCTGATTATAGAAAAAGATCGATTTACTACCGAAAAAGAGAAAAAGACTTAATATGTTGGTTCAGAGAAAACAGGGAAAGTTTTTCTAAAGTTTATGGTTGCGACTGGATTGTCTTATAACGGAAAACTTAAAATAAGCCAAGTAGAAAAAAAAAAATTTTAAAATTAATGCGGATTATTATCAGATATGTTTTAATAACTATTTTTAAAAAAGAAATTCCATCTGTTTATCCAGATGATCTCACTGTGTTAAGTTTTATCAAAATAAGGCTCCTAGCCATACCTCTAAATCTACTGCTCTGTTTTTTGAAAAAATGGAAAATGAAACCGGAATTGAAGCTATTCCTTTAAAATGCATCCCATCCAAGTCCCTTGATGTGTCTCTTACGGATTGTGCATATGGATTTTTAAAACAAGCTCTTTATAAACTGCATCCAAAAAATTGGATGGACTCTGGAAGGAGGAGTGGAATAAATCAACCTTAATGTTTTATGAAAAGGACTTATATATAAATCTTTGCAAAATTGTTACAAAAATGTGTGAACAACCTCTGTATGTGTGCGTAAATGTCCTTGAAGGTCACACTTCATAATTCTGGACTAGTATCTGTCCTTTTTTTGAGCAAGAAGAACATGTTTCTTAACTATTGAAAGCAATCATAAGAATCATCTATTGCTTTCCTTTGCTTATAACTTCTTTTACTTCATAGTGATATCTGTACCATGTACTGATATTTAATAATAATACTTCGTGATCTATATTTATTCTGTGCCAGGTATCATTTCTTTGAACAATATCTGTCATTAGTTATGACTAAAAATAACTGAGTGCATCGCACAGCAGCACCACAGGTCGAGGGTTCGATTCCTGGTCTGGTCAAGGTCGACTCAGCCTTTCATCACTTGATTTCCATCACTTGGGTCGATAGAATGAGTACCAAGTTCGCTTGGAGACTAAACACTGGGAATCCTGCCACAAGCTGCCCACTTGTTCAGGGCATATGGCTTATGCACCCGGGGCCCACGGTCAAGAAAGCAGATTTCGGGCACTGCAGGCCTTGGCCCATTAGGGCTGTTTAGCCACTGACTTTAGTTTTTAACTGCTCCTTAGAAATTGTCATGCAGTGAGTCTTGCAAAAATCATGAATAGTGTTGAAAATATTATAATGAATATTTTCTTATTTCCAATTAGAAGTCAAAATGTACCTCCTCTTAATATTCTAATCTGATACTTAACAGCTTAAAGTATGATTAAAAAAAAACTTCCCAAAACCTTCCTTTATATTTATTTGTTACTTCATGTGAAGGCTAAAAATACTAAATTTAGGATACAAATAACCATTCTAAATTAAGGATATGCATTCTATTATAATGCAAATTGCATTCAAACTTTGAAAGGTGCTGCATTAAAATATTGTCAGCATTATTAAACAGTCATTTATTATTAAACAATTATTTAAAGTCATTTATCGTTTCTTTTAACAACTGCTTGAAATTTTTAAGTATGGTATGAAAAAAAAAGGAGAGAGAAAATTTGTACCAGGAATAATGAATTTAGCTTTAAAATTTCTTTATAAATCTTCTGCCTTTGAGAAGTTTAGACCTGTATGATGTAGCACTTCATCTTAAACTGCTTTATAAATGTTTTTATTCTCTTTAGCATAAATGTAAATAACTAATAGTGTGATATCTGAAGGAAACTGTTAGTTTAATTTTGACTTGGTGTGCATTCCTTAGCTTTAGTTACCTCCATAACGTCCACTGCAATAATTGAACATTCACTTTTGGATTGACTCACACATTAAAAACGCCTTATCTGTAAACATCTTCATGAATTCACATTATAATTAGCATGATCAAATGTTTTCAGAATGACAGTGTGGAGGTTTGGTTGCTGTTTATTTTCCACTGATGTCTGATGCCATTTTAAAAGACAAAATTAGTATTATTTATGTAACACTTGCAGTTTTTTTCACCCAAAACTTGTTGTAGCGTCTGTAATCTTGTTAGTTTCTGGTTCCATCGTACGAAGTTTTTGATAAAAGTTGATATACTAATTTTGCTTTTTTGATGATATGAATCAAAACTGAAACAAGTCTGGGATACGAGACTATCCCCAACTTGATTTAACCCAGTCTGCGGTATTGAATGGGGAGGATGGTGGGAGGAAAAATTTTGCATGCATATTGAAATCAATGACCTAATTAAACTGAATTCAATGTCAAAATTCTTTTTGGTTTTTGACTGGGAAAAGCAAAGTTCAATAATTTTTTTATCAAGTCTTTTATTTAAAATATATTCCAGACTGTCTTTTAAGAAGAGGCAGTTACTTTAATATAATACTTTATTTAATATATTATTTTATTAAATATTCACTTCTTAATTAGTTTTTTTTTTTTTTTTTTTCTGTTTGAAAAAGTAATTTTTTTTTTTAAATGGGAAAAAATACTATATATATGCATGTATATTAAATTATATACATATTTATCTTAGCTTCTTACTTAAGCTAGCAGAAAAATTTCTTAACAGATTTATAGATATATATGTGTCAGATCTGTTTTCACAATAGCTACAAAATATTCTTCTTTGACAACTACAATGTTAATTACTTTAAGAAAGTTTATTTCACTGATAATTTCCATTATGTATTTTAAAAATCCATTTACTCCAGCTCATTGGTTGGGAACATTTCTTGTTTTTACGGGCACATTGCTATTTACAGATTTCAGAAATCTTAAAGAAAAAGAAAAATTTGAGTGTAAAGAAAAAGAAGAGAAAATTGAGTATAAAGAAAACAAAAAGAAATTTGAGTAAACATAAATTACTACAAGTTTCATTAAGTTATACCTTGTATATGCACTGAGTAACTATTTTATTATAACCAATTAATAATTTTAGCCAAGTCGGCATTAACATCATTCGTTGTCGTGTCACTAAACCGTGCATCATTGCCAAAATATGGTGAATATTTTACTGAATACATGGGCATAATAAATTGAGTACTTAGTGCATAGTATTTAGTTTTTTTTTTTTTTTTTTTTTTTTTTTTTTTTTTTTTTTTTTTAATAGCAAATACATGTTCTTAACCCTCTGACTGCTCAATTTTTAGACCAAAAACGCTTCAAAAATTGTGTAATTTTTTAAAAAAATATTTTAAATCCATATATATTGGAGAATTGAAAAATGCAGTTTTCCTTTCTAGAAAATATTTTTTTATATAGATTTGTATCATGAGAAACTAAGTTGCCAGAAAAACCAGTTTCAGATGTTTTCACTAAAAAAAGGTTTTTTTTTCAATAGCTTTCAGTCGAATTACAGTTAATTTCTATTTATTGCATAATATAAAAAAGTAAAATGTATAAAATTTAAGAAAATATAAAGCGCTGAGGAAAAAATATCTTAGAAATGCAGTTTAGCATGATAGAATTCAAAACAGGGTTCAAGGCAAAGTCCAACTTCACAGTCTTTACACAAGATTCAATAAATCTAATTAATAATCAATCTAATTATTAATCTAATCAATAAATCTAATTAATAATCAATCTAATTATTAATCTAATCAATAAATCTAATTAATAATTCAATAATTTAATTAAATAATCGAGATAATTGCTGAATGTTTTCTAGCAGCCATTTCTGAAAGAAAAAAGCGGCAAAACGTGGAGTTTGAGCGATAATACCACGTGCCTTCAATCGCCGCAATTTAGTGGACAACTAACGATATCTGTTGGCCAAAACGTGAATTAAACGTCTAATACTATTATTAAGTTATTTCAGAGGTTAAACGTGGAAAAAATGGAATGCGCTCCTCAATAAAGGAAGAAAAACACATGCCCGTGGAAATCGCAGGATGAGCAGAATTTGCTACATTTGAGTTGCCCGTGGAAATCGCGGGATGAGCAGAATTTGCTACATTTGAGTTGCCCGTGGAAATCACAGGATGAGCAGCCAGAGGGTTAACTTATTTTTTTGCTTATTCTTATTTATATTATTGGAACATTTGGTTATAACAAGTATCAATCAATTGCCAAATTTTCTTTGTTTTCTTCACAATTCACTATTTTAGTCATGTTGTAAATATACTCGTTAAGGTTTCATAACTTTACAGAGAGGTTAATATTAGAGAAAATAACAAATAATGAGATAGAAGTGTATGTATTTATGCATTTGCATTAATATGTTTTTGAGAAATCTAACACAATATTAAAAATAATTTATAACTTGGTGCAAAAGTCCTGCAATACTTTCTATTTCTGAAGAGTCATTCTTTTTGTCATAACTTTAACAGTATTTCATATTTTATAAATTTGTAACAGTTTTAAGTTTCTAACAAAAATTGTCTTTAAAATATTTATGTTTGGAATCATTACAGCGTTGAAAAAATATTATGTAGAAGTTATTTATGCATGCAACAGCTTCCAGTTATTGTCTCTAAGGCCCATATCACACATGCATTTGTTTCGTACTAACAACTGTTTCGGATAATTTTCCTGCCTGGTTTACTTAAAAGAAAGATGAACGATTTTTTTTTTTTCCCTTCTGTTCGAAAAAAATTGCAAGTTGTTCGTTTTCAACCACATTTGTTTACAAATTTAACATGACAGCATTATTTAAAAAAATTTGGCAGAAAGGAATGACTCTTCAGAAACATGCATGGGCTTATAGGTTGTGTATAATTTTTTAACCATACTGTTTTTATTATTTAATTTATGCTTTTGATTTTTTAGTTTGTTTCCATTATAAAAACTTGTGCTAATTAAATGTACTTCATTTAGTATTTTAATCTACAAATCTGAAAATTATTTTTAAGATTTCTCTTTGATATTTCTCAGATTTTCCTTTAAAACATCTAAAGCATTAGATTAACTTTTTTAACCATCATAGAAAAATTAATATATCCATTGAACTTTCAGTACAACACACTAATTTTACTTAAGTTTGGTATGACATGGCATGACACCACAATATGTATCATTTTTCCATACTTATCAATATATATACCATATACTGATACATATTTAGTCTTAAAAATACTAATTTTTGCTTGCTACAACTGTGATATCATTGCTTCCATGTTTTTTACAACCAAGTTCAAATGTGTTTAGTTAAGTTTCAGAATTTTTATCTGTCATTGACTGAATTGAAAGAATGAATTATCATCTAACTTATTGTAAGACATATGTATATAATCATTAGTTTAAATTATTTGTGGTACTCATTTTAAGTTATTTCTCATGATGCCCACAAACAGAAACCTTCCATTCATTATTAGATTTAAATCATGGTCAGCATCATCAAATCATCTACAGTAATTGGATGAGTGAATTTGAATATTAATGGGTCAAATGTTTAATTGCATCAGATGATTCTGTTATAAATTAATGGCTCAATTTAATTTACGTATTGCTTTCAGTCAGTTATTTGATGTATATATAATAATTTTGATCTGAAAACAGAAAAAAAAAAAAAAAAGTGACTGTTTCAGTTAAAATGTTAAATTAGAATAAAATTGTGCAATTTTAATTATAAATTTGAATAAATAAATTAACTTGCAGATACTTTTTTAAACTTTATATCCATATAGGTAAGAAATTAAACAAAATTTTAAAAACTTGATATTTCTATACATTTGAAGGTACACCTTGCACAAAAAAAAAGGGGGCGACAGTTCTGTAACTTTCATTCTACTGGACCAATGAAATTTAACTTTCATTTTCCACGTCTCGAAAGTGCGACTTAATTCAAAATACCTATATTAGTAGCATTGTTCTAACATAGGTATTTCGACAAAAAAATCAGACATTTTCTGAAATAGCATACCAATTTTTTTCCCATATTTTGTTCCTATGGCTCAAATTATGCCAGAGTGTCAAGTTTTGTAAAAATTGCACCAGTAGTTTTGAAAAATTATGTCTCAAAATTCTAGCTCCTCCATGGTAATTGAATGGTATATATTTATTAATGTCTCTTTTTCTTATTAAACATATATTTTTACTTTTAAAAGACGATTGTCTTATTTCCTGTTAGTAGCCCTATAACAGTAAAGTGGTCAAAATATTGGTTATTTGAGAGCTTAGCAAATCATAATAATCTTCCTCCATTTAAATCTTCTTTCTCATAGCAAGTGCTTATAGTTTATTGCTTAGCATTGTCTTCGAGGATTGTCATTGCAGAAAACTATCGTATTTTTTTTCTGTAGAGTTAGGGTTAGATTTTTCAGTTCTTTAAAAGATGCTTTCATTTCCATTTCCTTTCAAGTCTAAACTTTTCAGTTAATTATCTAGTTCTTAACTCCAGAAATTCAATTGTGTAGCATGTTTAGCATTGACTTTCAAATTAAATATAGTAAAAGCCTGACTATCCAGCATTAAACTAACCAGATTAATTTAGAATTTTTTAAATGGAAAGTGAAACAAATGAAACCTCTAGAAGCATATACAGAACTACTACTTGAAACTGTATATAATATCTAAAATGCAAATACAATAACTCCCTTTCATTATATCATATTACGAAATTAGACATCTTTCCTGCTGAGGTATTTTTGACAAAGGACAAATGTTGCCAATAATGGATATGTGTGACATTACCAATGCCTGTTAGATTTTCACCATATGGTTATGTAAATTTTGTAAATTCTCGGTAAGCTGGTTTACTTATTTTACTTACTTTTTATTTACTTATAAATTCTTTGTACAGAAAGATATGTTAACTTCTGTTTATCTGCTTTCTCCCTTGTATTTTGAAAATTTTGGCCCAGCCTTCTATGGAACTGCATGCAGTAAAGTATCTGATTCTTGCATGAAAAGTATACGTTAAATGGGCACAGTATGCAACTTTTTCAAACAATGGTGATGTAACATGAAAAATTATGATAAGCAATTTAACTTTTTGTATGCTATCTATAACCTGTATCTTGTTGACCATGTAATTAAATAAAAAATAAATCTAAGTTTCTTTGAACTTCTCCTGGAGTGACTGATGCAAGTTCAGTAGTGTCTGTGTCAATTTTATGATCAGTGGGATTTTATAATTGGTTAAGATGTTTTGCTATTTTTTGATTTAAGACATATGAAAATACACTACCTTTTATGTCTGAAATCAATTTTTTTGTTTTCAGAATCTTACTTCATCATCAGTTTCCCCATAATAGTAATTTTACATATCTAGGAAATATGATCAGCATCTGTACCAGTTGTATAATTCATAACCTTTGTGAAAAACTAGAAAATGGGCTCATTTTTTTTTCCCCCTTGCTTGTTTAATTTCACCTCAAAAGTATGGATAGCTTAGACAGATAACCCAGCTATCTGTCTAAGCTATCCAGATTTTTGATGTCAAACAATATTAAAATAACAAGATAATGTTGTTATTGTGGCTTTTTTTTAAATAGTTGCATTTCAATTACTAAATTTCTAAAAAGAAAAGGAAAAATTCCTTATGTTTTCAAAGTTAAACATATAGTACAAGGAAATCAATGGTATTATAAGTACACTGGTAAATTTATTTAAAAGTAATATATAATTTATTTCTGTATCAAAAACTATGCAAAGAATTGGAAATTTATTTACAATTAATTCTATTGACCAGTAGAAAAAATTGGCAACACCATACTGTAGAAATCCAAGACAAAAAATTCACAACTGTACAGAAGATCAAATAATAGGTCTTTTTGCATAGTGTTAGTTAAAGTCAGAATAGTAGTCTCACACTAATATTATTAATTTTGTACTTTAACTTTTGTAAGCACATAATTGGGATTCCTAAAAGTTTGATGGTTGTCTTTGGTGGGGTGGTTGATATAACTTTGCTGCTGGTCTATGGTCTTGTCTTGATTGTTTCTGCCGATCTTGTCTTCCCTGGTATTGTCCATAAGATTTGTTAGGATTTTGCTGTAGTTCTAATAGATCCTTAAAGTCTTGACACTGACTGTAATTGTTTGGAATTTCATTCCAATGACTTGGATGGAAGGATAAAGGCCCAGCGTTCTATTTAAAAAAATATTTAATTGTTAATTATTAAATTGTTTCAAAAATGTAATTTCCCCATATTTATTAAAAAATAGAAAAGATTATCTCATCTAGAGTTGACCTGACATCGTATCTATGAAATAAATATCTGAATGATGTCCAGAGGGTATCGATGCATTTGCACACTTCGCAACACATTCGAGTTGATCTGAGCTATATTTAACCCGCGGGAAGGCGCGTGGGGTGTATCATACCCCAACCCTACATAAAAGTGGAATATTCCTAACTTGTGAAACTAAAATTCTGTGCTGCTTTCAGTAGCTGAGTTTCTAGTTGTGGTTGACTTTCAGAACCGCTTTTTCTTTGCCTGTGTGTTTCAGAAAAAGATTTATCGGTATTTTGTTGGAAATGTGGTATGACACACCCCACGCGTCTGTCCGTGTAAGTGTAAAAACTGTTCTTACGCTTTATATAACGATCATTATAACATTATATAATGATCATACTATAGATGATACTATTGGAGAAAATAAAACGTTAGGAATTATATGTTTTAATAATATGACTAAAGAAGCAGTGGATATGGGAGATGGTGGTGTGGTGTGGTATATTTAATTATGGCAAAGCACACGAGGACTATCTGCCTAAAGGGAGGGATGCCTTTCGTGGAAAACTTTCTAAGGGAAACTGGCTCGTATACATGTTACATATGGGGAAAACCACGACAACGCCCATGCAGCCAGCCCGTTCGCGGAATTCGAACCTCAGACCGAACTACCAGTGTTCAGCGTCTTTACCGCTCGGCCGCTGGTGGGCCGGATATGGGGGATGAAATGTCAGCCAATTATTCAATTGCCAGAATAATGAGAAGGTGGCCAATGGTAATTTTCTTTCCTGCACTGAATGTTGCTGTAATAAATGCTTGGATTATATTACATTCAACTCCTAATCCACCAACAAGAAACAGAAGTCTGATTTTGAAGGACTTAGCATTACAATTAATGAAAAAAATATTGAACAAAGATCAGAGATTAATACTTTTCCAAGAAATTGACGTACTGCATGCAAAATAAAAGCAGAAGTTTCGATGAAGAATTAAAACGAATACATGAAATTAGAAACAACTAAGTATGAAAGATGTGTTAAATTTTTTGCCCTCGCGCCAAGGACAGAAGAACATGAATGCAATGTTTAAAATGTGAAAACATTCTGTGCCAAGAACACATGAATGTATTTTGTTCAAAGTGTGAAGAAATAAAAAAAGAATGGTATATTAGAGATGCAATGAAACTTAGAGGCATGATGTTTATTATTTTCATTTATCTTAATTTTAACTCTAAGATTATTTCGGAAATTAATTTTTTGAAACCTAATTATTATTCACTTATTTATAATACACGAGAACAAAAAAAAATTTTAAAACTAAATACTATTTTTATTGTATTTTAAATATTGGGGTATGTGATACCCCACGTGCCCATTCTAGTAACTTTTCTTGGTGCGCCTTCCGCCAGGTTAACAACCTGTTATCCTGTTGAAAAATTGCATTTAATATGTCATACGTACAGACAGAGCCATTTGTAGGCGTTTTTAGCGCCTGGAGACAACGGGAAATTTTTGTGCTCCCTCTTTGCCAAATATGGAAAATATCTCATTCTGTTGTTATTGATCCTAACTGGTTAGCCATTAGGCTAGACTAGATCTACGAGTCCAAGAGCCATCAATATTTCCTATATGAAGGTAGGAATAGGTCCTCTTTTACAAGTCCCAAACAGGTGAGATGATGTCCAGGGCTGATATGATCAGTATTACATTTTCTACAGATATGGTAAATCTTAATTCCCCAGTCAAATTTAAGGCATTTCAGGTTTCCACTTAGGAGCCTCGTCAAAGTAGTCCGCTCAGCGTGATTACGGCAAAAGTGGCCGCTAAAATTTCTTAATATCAAATTGGTATGAAGTGGATGCTGCATTTCTGGGGATAGATAGCTTCACTTCCTCTCACAACCTATGCCGCTGCCTATAGATAGTGTAGAACTAAGGCACAAATTTTCAACATAAAGGTGTATTATTAACCCTTTGCACTCTGGCCTTTTTTGCGCCAGGGACTCGAGCTGTTTCACAGCCTTTTTGATGCATTTCTTACCAGTAACTTAAAATCATTACATACAAATTAATGTACTGTACTTTTTTTTGAGGGGGGGGGTCTCTTCTCTGAGAACAGACTTTGTGAAAGATAAGATTTCTAGGTTTACACTTTATAAGATTATACAGAAAGATCATAAGAACCCACTACAAAGAAACTAAATGTAAACAGTTATTGCCATGCATCAAGTTTCCGCATCAAACCACAAGGTGAGCGAGAGTTACCTCTTGAGTTGCAGCATGGTGAGCGAGAGTCACCTCTCGAGTGCAAAGGGTCAATGTGCTCATAATGAAAGGAATGGAAAAGCTGTCAATGACTCAGCGTTGATAGTTATGTGGTTCAAATTAGTACAGGAATTCACCCAGTATTGCATCCAGATTCTCATACAGTGATAATCACTGATGAATATTTTGCAAGGACGACACCATTGGCGAACTTGAGTTTAATGTCACAAGCTAAAAATTGTGACATTAAACTCAAGTAAAACTTGATTCTAGTATGAAACAGAAACTTCTTTGGCGTCATGCATGTTCTAGTTTCTCCCACACACATTTCAAACATGACTGATCGTTTTGTTTCTTCAATATACCATAAAGAGTTCAATGAAACCTCTCATGTCATTCATTTGAACCCAAATAGATAAAAAAAAAAACAGATTCTGTACACAAACAAAGGAATTAATGGCAACTGAATTTCTCACATACAAACTGTTGAAATTTTATGATAGTTAAAATGGTTAAAAATTCAATCATTTAATTCCTTACTTGCTATTATATATTTCTTCAGCAATTATACAAGCTAAACAATGTTTCTGTTAAACAATTCTTAGGCAAACTTTAAAAGTGTATTTTAAACATTCCCGGGCCCCAAAAAACAGCCATACCATATCAACATGACTCTGCATATAAATTTATTTACTCAGTGTTTCTTTTAATATGTAGGACAATCTCCTGAGCAAGTTTTAATACTGTTTTTAAAAATATGGTAAATTTTACAAATACATTTACATACATTTTTCCCTAACTCGCAGATATAATAGCAATAATATTTACTAAAGTAGCATTTTATTTTTTCATTATTTTAAATATAAATTCAAAATATACCACAGTAAAAATCTGACTAAACGGTATTCAACTAATCAGAAAACTCAAGTAATGGGAATCCCAAAATTAAGCAAATGAGAACCTTGTAAATCCATCATAAAACATGTATAGTATTTTGTTGCCAAACAGTGCAATTTATCACCAACAATGGATAATTGTGAAATCATGACACAATCATAAGATGTCATACAATTTATGTAAATCCAGTTTGTCAAGAAGGTGGTTTAGTTTCTGCAAAGGATATATGAGAGTTGCTTTTTTTTTTTTTCAACCTCCGATCGCACAGTATGATGGCCAGGCACGTGGTTGGTGTGTGTAGTAGGCAACTGCACATCTCCCTTTCCACACATTTCTGTCACTGGCGAGTTCAACACGCCATTTCCTATTGAGTTGCAGTCATGTAAACATGGCTATCACTATTGATTCTCCCGTCAAGTGTGAATGGAATAGTGCAGCAGAAATTCATCGAAGAACGAGTCGAGTGTATGAAGACAGCTTCATGAGTGACGGTGTTGTTCGTGAATGCTGTCAAAAGCTTAAAGATGGCCGAACTGATGTGCATGATGAAGGGGGTCAAGGACGCAAATCTGCCACTACACACAACATTATTCAACGAGTTGACCAAGCGGTTAAGGAAAAATCGAAGGTTCACCATAAGTGAATTATCGATGCAATTTCTGGAAGTTTCAAGATCTTCCCTGTAGTTTATCATTACTGAACAGTTGCGCTACAGAAAAGTTTGTGCTCGCTGGGTCCCACAGATGTTGACTGACGATCACAAAACACGCCGAATGGCTGCAGCGTTGGAGTTTCTTGACCGTTACAATACTGATGGAGAAGATTTTTTGAAATCCATTGTGACAGGCGATGAGACATGGGTTCAATATGACACGCCCCAAACAAAATGACAATCACAACAATGGATGCACACAAATTCTCCAAAGACACCCACAAAATTCAAATGAACCTTCAACAACCGTAAGTTTATAGCAACTGTTTTTTGGGACCAAAAAAGTGTGTTGCTTGTAGAGGCAGTATGCAGCAACAATTAATGCAAATTCATATTGTGAAACTTTGCGACACTTACGGAAAGCTACGAGGGCAATCCCAAAAAAAGGTCTATTTTTTGGGGACGTAGAGAAAGTTTTAATACGGTTGTTGGCAACACTGTTATGAGTGGTGCCTTTTCCACTACCACATAAGCATGCAGGCGCTTCGCTCGGATGCTCAGTCTTGGCTTGGCAGCCATTCGAAATGGAGCTCCCGATAAACGTTACCGCCAGGTGTGAAGTGCGGGCAGTTATTCGATTTTGAACGCAAAAGGCGTTAAACCGGTTGAAATTTACTGCCTATTGACGGAAGTGTATGGACAGTCGTGCATGGATGTCAAAAACGTTCACAAGTGGTGTAGAGAGTTTCCAGCCGGTCGTACTGAAATTCATGACGAAGAAAGGAGCGGGAGGCCGACGAGACAGTCGCGAAAGTTGAGTAACTCAACTTTCGTGATTGTTGAGTTCGTAAAATGCGAAAAGATTGGAGGTTCATCTGGATGCTCCTGAAGCTCCTCAACACTTCCTGAAGTGCATGGCGGCAAGCTGGTATGACATGGGCATTGTAAAACTGCCACAGCGTCTACAAAAATGCACATAGATCAAAATGGTGATTATGTTGAAAAATAAAGCATTCTGCAATCTTTAAAGTGATGTAGCAATTATAGAAAATAAACAGTTCTTTGTATATCTAAAAATATAGGAGACCTTTTTTTTGGGGGGGATTGCCCTCGTATTAAAAAAAACTAAGAGGCATGCTGACTTCTGGAATTGTTCTGATCCACAACAATGCCCGTTCTCACAGCACTCATGTAACCCAACAGTCCTTCAGAAATTTCAATGGGTCATTTTCAAACACCCACCATGTAGTCCAGACTTATCACCGAGTGACTATCATCTTTTCCCTGAACTGGGGGGCAGCACTTCTAAAATGACGTGGAGCTGAAAGAAACCATCACAACTCGCTTCCAATCATCCGGAAACATTTTATGAAGAGGGTATTGCAAAGCTTGTTCCACAGATATGACAAATGCTTCAAACATCAAGGTGATTACGTAGAGAAATAACCTATATTGTACATTACTTTTGGTAATAAAATCTTTTTTGTACATTCACCCGTCTTTTCTGTATAGCCCATCGGAGGTTGAAAAAAAAATAGCCTACATAAATTAACTGTTATTTATCCATTTTCTTCCCAGATTCTGAAATAAATTATTAATGTTTGGGCCTGTCTTTTACATACTCTACTACACCTGCAGTAGTGTGTTTGATCAAGTGTGCGTTAAATGGGCACAATATGCACATTTTGAAAACAATAGTCATGCAACATGAAAAATTATAACTATTACATGGATAGTTTTAAACCTAGGCTTTTGAAAATTAATAAAATAATTTTAGACTTGACATTTCTTCCATTCATTTTGGTTTCCTACCATGAACTTCATTACACTTAACTATCTAGAATTTTCACAGATCTGGTAATTCCTAAGTTTAAGATGTTAGAAAAATCATTTTAATATTAGTTGTAACATTTCTAATTCAAGATATGTATATAATTTTATTGCTCACCCATCCGGAATTTATCTGTTGAACATCATCAACTAATACTTCTTCATAATTTCCATATTCCATAAAATGAACAACACAAGTTTTTCCTTCTTTACCAACTGCATGGACTGTAGCACGATAATACTAAAAAAGGAAAAACAGTAATTCAGTGGAATAAAACACACTTCATTCTATAATGGCTGCAGAAAGGGGTGGGATTCTTTTTGTAATATTCTTTAAAAATTCATCTTTTCAAAATAAATTTGTACTTATCAATTGAATTTTTAATTATACTTTTTCATTTTGAATAAAATATTTTACAAAATATAAAAGTAATTATGAAAAGTGTTGGAAACTAAATTAATAAACTCAAATTATCCAAATATTGGATATGGTTTCAAATACTGCATGTGAATGTGTAGCAGTACATTCAGAGAAGAAAATTCTATCTGCTGTATAGTATTTAGTATTTTTAGACAAACTGAAAAATATATTGATCAAAATAGACTAAATTATACCTTTTGCAAGAAAAATAGTAACTAATAAATTAAATGTTTAGAATTTTATAGCAATATACCATAAATTTTGTCACTTCAAAATCATTAAATAGGTAGACTCTCACTATGACTCAAATTATGGCAAACTGCCAAGTTTTGGAAAAAGCACATGAGCAGTTTTTAAAAAATTAGCTCACAAAATTTTAACTCCTCAATATTAATTGAATTTGATATATTTTTATTAACATCTCGTTTTTTTATTAAACTTACTTGATTTCTTCTTTCAGAATTCGAAATGTAGGTTTAATTCAAATATAATTTGCACATTTTTTACAATTTATTTTTAAACATTTTTTATAAATTTTTCGAAAAAAATTTTGAATTATAACCTGTAAAATTTTTAATATCTTAAAACAGATGTATTTCTAGACACACCTGCAAAAAATTTTGTTTTTTTTTTTTTATTCACAATTTCCTATGATATACATGAATTTACATATTGGTGTGGTTTGAAATTTGCCATATTCGTTACAAGCAATAATAATGCCAAATTTGGTTCAAGCATTATGTTAAAATTATTTGAAAATAATGAACGTGATCTTTTATCCGCTCATTTACAATGGAAAAAAAAAAAAAAAACGAAAGGAAAATATGTTTGCTATAAATTAAGAAGTTCACCATGTGAATTATTTTTGTCGCAAACTGGAAAAAAATCCTCCAAGATAAATTTTTTAATTTTACAAAATTTAATATTTAGGCATAATTTGAGTCCTAGAATGGAAATATGGAATAAAACTGACATATCACTTCAGAAAAAGTCCGATTATGTGTGAAAATACCTATGTTAGAACAGTGCTATATATAAATCTAATACATATCCTAAGTCACACTTTTGAGACATAAAAACACAATTTGAATTTTGTCAATCGGACCAATAGAACAGAGGATATGAACTGTCCCCCCTTTTTTTCGCAGTGTACAAAACAGATTCTTTTTTGTTTCGGAGTGAAATGAGGGCTGCAGAAAAATAAGTCAAAGGTTGCATGCAACCCACAGATGTCTGTTAGTTTAAAATACGCACTTTGAGGGCCATTTATCTGCTTTTCAGCTTTACCCTTGTAGCTATGCTAAGGACAGCTACAAAAGATAGTTAAGTCGTATTTTGCTCAAATACCAATGCCCCTTTGGGGCAGTGACAACACACATCATGACTGTAAATGGAGAAAGGTTCATAAATGACCTTTGACTATCTATTTTAAATAAATAGATGATAGTTCTTTATATTGTTTGCACCACTATGGTTACACTTTGAGAAAATTTATTTCATTACTAGACATCTAAAAAGCATATATTTAAGCACTTCCAACTAATTAAAAAATTTTATGCTGATGATCATTAATTTAAGAAAACAATAAAATTCACTTACAGTGACACTTACATGATAATATCGTTTCTTACCTTATTATCTTCCCAATACTTGGCCAGTACTATTGCACCTGGCTTGAGGAAAGGCTTACCGATTGCAAAATTATCTTTATCACTTCGAATCTCATAGCCATGAAGTTTGACTTGAGATGTTTTAAATGATAAATCTTCCATATCACCATATTTGCTATTATTAAAATATTTGTCATTATTTGAAACTTTGTTAGGTTCATAAACATTTGCATTCTTCACAGATCTTGCTACAGGATTTAAATTGTAGGTATTTTCTGCATATAAATTTTCAGTTGGCATCTGATGCATAATTCCCTGATTTTTAAAATTTTGAGTATTGTTTGCATTAAATTTATTTCTCTGATCTATTCTTCTCTCTTTTGAATAAGACTGTCCATGATTAGGAACATCATTTGTAACTTGAGTTCTGTAAAACTCATGATTTGGAAAATTTCTCCCTTGATTTTTAGGAAATGTTTCCTCATATTGCTTCTTTGATGGTGATGGTTTTGACTCATAAACTTGAGGATTTTTTAATGGTTTCTCATAGTTGTTAGAATGACTAAACTGCGAGTTTGAAAACGATTCAGCCTCTTGTTTTGCGTGGGTTGGCTTCTGTAAAACAAAATAAATATATAAATTTTATTTTTGCAATTTTTTAGATATTTATTAAAGCAGTAATTAATAAAATACATTCATATTAGCATCTAAGGTATTTTCTGATTACCTACTCAACCCTGAAAAGAATTCACTAAGCAAATGCACTACATCAGCCAAACAGGCAACTCATAATGTCAAAAAGAGGTATTTATGTTATAAGGTATTTCTACCACTTTCCTTTCATGGTGTAGTGGTTCTGCACGCTGGGCCAGTATTTCAAAGATCCGTGGTTCGATTCCCGGTGAAGGCGATTGCTCATTTTTCATCTCTCCAGCTTTTCCAAAATACCTAATGTCTCTACAATGTGATAATTCTAATCTGCACCGCACATGCAGATTTCAACTTTCTGATTAGTAATTGTTCCGATTGGTGTTTGATGAGTTTGTGTATTTTTTCCTTTTTTACCAGCTGATGAAAAAAGAAAGCATTCTCTTTCTTCAGAAGTATGGCATTTTATCTAACAAGTACAGGATGCAAACATTTGCATTTCATGAAGTTGTGTGCTGATGCTGCAAGTTGTAAAATTCTGTTTTCCCCTCCCCCAAGCCAAAAGAGATACATTGGAAATGATAAAGTGTGCAGTGCCAAATTGTTGCAATGCTACGTTTTCTAAGTTTTCTGATGTTTTAAAAGCTAAAACGGATTATTGTTTGCTAAATAAATGGTACTTTACTATGCATGATTCTTGCATTTTTATTTTGTCAATTGGTATTTTTTTAAAATGGCTGTAACCTTTCCCGTTTTTGGGGGTTGGCAGATAATCACAAAGCACTACATTTATTTATAAAAATACTTTTTTTTATTATTATTATTTACAACATGTTAAATGGTTAGATTAAAAATGAAAGAGCGACTAGTATATTTCATGTTAAATATTGGCAGCTAAATAAATACTTTTTGGTGACACTGTGGCTTGCCACATAATTATTTTGCCAACTTACTGCTTTGCTTAATGAATACTTTTTTTGTGACATAAATTCTAAACCGTAATTCTAAACAATGAAACAAAGTTTATATAATTTACACTTATTTAATTATAACTTTTTTGTGACATAAATTCTAAACCGTAACTCTAAAACAATGACCACTGGCATAAATTGTACAAACTTTGTTTTATATAATTTATGCCAAAGGAGAAATACACAATAAGGACATGCAAACACTAAGAAATACACCTTCATTAGATAAAAATGGGGTGTATAATCAATGATAAATTTTACATGTCTACGTGGAGGATACTGTATTGCAGTACAATACAAAGTCTAAAATCCAGGCATTCAATATCTGGAATGATCTCGATCTCTAAACCATCAGCCAAAAAAATAAAATGATAAAAAAAAGCTTCGCTCTCTACTCTAGTCAGGGAATGGACAATATAATAACAAAAGGAGGCACTAAGGTTGGGATTTGTATAGGATTTTTCTCCAGACTAACTCAGATACCTGCATATTACTTTCAAACATCTACTAGCTAAGGAATCAACTGTAATCACACTGATGGCTATGGATTTGATGAATAAAGCATTGATTCATGTTGGTCTGGATCACGCATTCGGTCCTTGAGTGGTTATCAGGCAGGATTAGCACTAAACATTTGCTTGCCTGGTGCAATCTCTATAAGTCCTAAATTTTGCTGTCCAGTTCCTAAATTCTATTGCCCAGTGATTCTCCTAAACTCTAAAAATTCTGCCTTCCCTAATTTTTGCTGCTCCTCAAAATTCTAAAATTCTTGCCACCATTTTTCTAGCTGATTTAAACAATGAATAAAGTCAAAATGTGGCCATGTCTATATGATTAATGCAAGATTTAAACTGATGAAGTAGCATCCAGAAATTTCCAAAAATTGAAATTGGTGAAGTCCTGATGATTCCGGACCTACGACTTCGTACTGTATTTATACACAGAAATAAGTGTCTTTATTCTGAATTCTTTTAAGCAACAAACTCATTCTTAACAAAAGATTAAAAATGATAAAAATCTGAAAAACAGAAGTTTTAATTATTTAACTGTATGTGAAAAAAAAAATTATCCATATTTTTGAACTCACAAGAAACTCATTTCTGAACTTGCATAAAAAACATACTGTGAATAAACTTTCTATGATGTACTACGAAGAGACTATAGACATAGGCCCACCAGCGGCCAAGCGATAAAGTTGCTGAGCACTGGTAGTTTGGTCCGAGGTTCGAATCCCGCAAACAGGCTGGCTGCATGGGCGTTTTCATTGGTTTTCCCCATGTGTAACATGTATATCAGCCAGTTTCCCTTAGAAAGTCCTCCACGAAGGCATCCCTCCCCTTAGGCAGATAGCCCTAGTGTGCTTTGCCGTAATAAAATAAATCAAATCAAATCATTCCTATATTATGAATAGGACTTTCTATGACATATAGACAGTCTATGGAATGACACAATATTACTTCCTATGACAAAGTTAATAATAATTTTAATCCATTATTCTTAAAACACACATATTATATCCAGTTTGCTAATTTATAATAAAAGTAACTCAGGAAAAATTCATAACTGCAGTAAATGAAATAAATGTGTCAATAATTACAATATCTTTGCCCCCTCCAAAGACTTTAGCCTTAGCTTCTTTCATTCTAGCAACTTCAGCAATATTAGCCATTCTTTGTTGTTTAAAAATTTCATTTTCTTTTGCTTCTTTTGCTTCTGTCTCCAGTGATTTAAAATCTGCAATTATATTAATAGCCACTTTTAATTTAATAAGGGTTTATTTGAACTATGAAAGCATCAGATTATAGCTCAACTTTTTTTTTTTTAACTGAGGACAAAGAAAAATTTAAGGCACTAAATAAAAATTGCATTTAAATATTAAAAAATCAAAAGATAAATATTTCACTTATGGGTCTTTAATTTTTTTTTGGGGGGGGGGAGAAACGATGCATATGCAGCATTAAACTTACTTCCTGATTTTAATGGTTTGGAAGATGATATTGGTTTTCCAAATGGTATCCAAGGCGGTGGACCATTACCATCTAGATCTTCTTTAGTTCTGACATGTGATGCAAGACGCTATCAAAAATAAAAGAAAATAATGTACAGATACACTAAAAGATTCATCTAGAAAGATTTTCAAATATTTATAATTATTAAAATAAAGGTTGGTGCAACACTTGTGCATCAACTTTTGTTCTATAACACTTGTGCTAAGTAATTTTTTCTTATAATTTTTAAAATAATGCTAATATCTTAATCAATAATAAATTTTGAATTCCTTATGAAACTGTTAAAAAACATTTATTAATTATTATAATAGCATTACTTTTTTAAATGTGTTCAAATATTCAAAATACATATTTGAGAACTAATTCATATACATTATTTATAATAGCCTGTAAAATTCCATTTTACTTTAGTTATTTTCTTTGGTATTATCGCATTATCCACCCAATCCTAACAAGAATCACTGGACAAAGCAGAGTACAGTACAAAGTCTGTAATCCAGACCTCAATGCTACAAACTTTATGCACAAGTGGATCCGGCTTATTATTTTTTGCAGACTGTTAGAACAATTTTATAAAAATTAAGCTTGTACTTTCGATTATGTCAAAAAGAGTTTCCAATTCTGGAGCTGCCAAAGGATCTACAAAGCGAAAGCATGTTTGAATGTCCATTAAACAAAAAGTGGAATTACTGCAAAAAATGGATAAAGGCCTATCCGTCTCAAAATTATGAGAGAAGTATGGCATTGGAAAGTCAACTGTATATGAATATATGACACAAGAAAAAGGAACTTTATGAATTTTTTGTGGAAGCATCTTAAACAACTTACATTGAAAGAAATGTTTCATAAAGTAAAATAAATATTAAGCCTTTTTTTGTAAATTTTGATACCCTTTAGATCATAATTGTTCTTTATTTCATAAATTACGATTTCATATTTTTAATTGTATAATTTCTGCATGCCATCTGATCAGATTTAAATTGATGATCTATAATCCGGAAAAACCTCTAATCTGGAATCGCCGAAGTCCCAACGAGTCTGGATTACGGACTTTGTACTGTACTGCCAAAATAGGCAAATCAGAATTTTAAGAAAATCTATTTATATGGCAACCCACTCATGACTGTGCATGTATAACACTACCATCTGTCTAGGTGGTGGTAATGCACATGATTTCGGAATCTGAGGGTCATACAGTTTCAGTTTGTTGCGATTTTTGTGTGCAGTTCCCCCCCCTCTTGTATTGAATCCTAATCCCACTGTGGAGTTTTCTTGCCAATGAAAAAGTATTTTGCATTGTTTCAGAAATACAGCATTTTGCTTAATAGTGTAGAATGTCAGAATGCACATTCCATGACATTCATTTGTGTAATACACCGATTTTCCCCCTTCTTGAGTTAAAACAGGTCTATATGTACATGGAAAGTAGTGCTAGTTTGCTCTACAATGCCAAGAATTCTGCTATTCTCTAATTAGTCCAAAGTGGCTTTGTCCTTGAAGGACTATTGTTTTCCTTTTGCATTGATTCACTATAAATGTCCGTTTCACTTTTCAAACTGTTGCCACCAAATGTTAGAGTCTTGCATTATACTTCAAGAAATTAAATAATGAAAAATCTGCATAAATGTATGTATATTTCTCGTATTGTGATAAAACAACGGTACATAGAGTCATCGAATTTTGAATAACGTAATCCTCCAACGAATATGAGCATGTGGAAAACCAAATTTGAAATTTGAAATTTGTTTTATGATCGATTTCCTATTTTTTAAAACTTTGACGAATTTTTAATTAACAAACTTAGGGATTTGAAAGCGAGCAATGGCAACGTTTTGCAGAAAAAACATTTTTATCTCCAGCGCGTGAGTCTCTGTATCGGAAATTCTAAAGATATGCTCGTTTTAAAACTATTTTGCGATATTGCTGTTGCACTGGATCTTATGGTTTAAGTGCGAGGAACATGATATTTAATAAAGAAAGGTAACACACAAAATGTTAAAAAACGCCCCTTTGGACGTAATTTAAAATCTGAAACATTTCAGATTTTTTTTTTTTTTTTTTTTTAGTCCAAAGGGATTTGAATCCCGAAGGATTATTAGTTTCGTTTTGGCATTTTGCGTCGGACTCATAAATGTCGGTTCACTTTTCAAACTGTTGCCATAAAATGTTAGAGTCCTGCATTATATTTGAAGAAATTAAATAATGAATATCTGCGTAAATGTATGTATATTTCTCACATTGTGCGAAGATTTATCATATTGCACACATTGTGATAAAACAACTGTGCATAGAGCCACCAAATTTTGAATGACATAATCCTACTGTGAATATGGGTATGTGCGAGCCCAAATTTGAAATTTATTTTATTATCGATTTTATATTTTGTAAAATTTTAACGAATTTTTGATTAACATTCTCAAGGATTTCAAAGCTAGCAATGGCAACGTTGCACAGAAGAAACATTTTTATCTACAGCGCATGAGACTCTGTATCGGAAATTCTAAAGAATGCTCAATTTAAAACTATTTCGTGATATTTCTCTTGAACTGAATTTTATGGTTTAAGTGCGAAGAATGTGATATTTAATGCATAAAGGTAACAGACAAAATGTTAAAAAAGTACCCCTTTAGGTGTAATTAAAAATCTGAAACTTTTCAGATTTTTTTTTTTTTTTTCTTTAGTTAAAACAGATCATTGGGTCCATGGACAAAAGACCAGGGGGGAGTTTTATTTGTAAAGTGCATTTTAATTTAGTTAATTTATTGCTGTTTTATGTAATTTTTAGCATTTCATTATGGATGTTTCTTATGTTTTTAATTTCATTAATTCATTGTTGTTTTCATGTAATGTTTAGCACAAAACCGTTTAAATTTTTTTTTAAATGGCTACTGTTTTTCATGCATTAGGTCTGCGAAAAATTACTTGCCAAGGATTAGCGACTTTAGGTGAGGGTTGGGCAGATAATGCAAGAATACCTTTTCTTTTCAAAGTGTGAAAATCATACAATAAAAGCTTCAAAAAAGCATCATTCCAAAATTAAGTTATCATTAGTTCTTATATCATGTAGATTAACATGTATTTATATACAATAGCTCACATTTGTATTTGTATTCAAGACATATGTATTTTCAAAATTTAGTTGAATTATTATCTTTAACTAAACACTGAAACAGAGACTTTAAAAGAGAAATTTTTTCCTTCTATTTTAAGCCTAGCTTGTTACAAAATAAATATCATTAAAATATATTTTGTAATAAAATAATTCATTCAAAAATTATTAATCAGTAGCTCATACAATAATTCAGTCACTCGAAAATTTGAGATGTTCTGTCAAACTACAATTTTTATATAATTTTTTGTTTTAAATGAAAATACATCACCAGAATTATTGTCTGCATTTGTAAATTACTTGTTTTAAAAATATATATTACAGTTCCATATCTGAAATGATCATGGCAAGATGCTACAGATAAACAACACATTCTTTAAACAAAATTAACATCATTTTGGCAATGGTAAAGTATTTAAAATATTTTTTTAAAAAAATTTTGATGGAAAATGTTTAACTATCTTTTATGCTACTATAAAACAATGGAAACTGTATGAAACTGTTGAAAATAGTCTAAAACACATATTACACTAACACGAAAGAACTGGAGATTTATCCGATAGAAAATCAAACAAAATTAAAAAATTAGTACTGTAAAACTTAGAGAGGATTTAGGAAAACAGTTTCCAATAAAAGTTAACTCTGAAACTCTTAGAACAGTTATTATGACACATAAATACAATGACTGGTCAGTAAAAAGGAAATTTACAAGGAAAATACATCCAACGTTTGCAAAATTCACGATATGCGAAGATTTATCATATTGAAGTAATGGTATGAAGATGAGTGAAGTTTGATATATTTGGGTTCGACAGATGAATAGCTGTGTGTTGAAAGCCTAATAAGAAATGAATAAAAAAAATTATTGCCTACTGTTGAGCACGAGGGTGGAAGCATAATGGTTTCGGGATGTTTTGCTTTTGCGTCTGGAATCAAAACTTTACTTTTTGTAGAAAATAATAAATATTATTAAATGTGTAAAATTTGTTAAATAAAACTTGAAAATCTCTTCAAAAAACTTGGAATGCAAAATACATACAAGTACTATCATGATAAAGATCTTAAACATACAGATATAAATGCTTGCTAGTAATTATCAAAACTCTTTCACAGTCGTCGAACTTAAATTCTATTGAACATGTACGAAGGAAGTTGGAAAAAAGAATAAAGAAACATGCCATTTCCTCAAAAATTCTACTATAAGCAATTCTTGCAGAGGAATGGAACATTCTCACATGAAAAATTTACTTGAATCTATAACAAAGTGCATGAAAAATTTAATTTAGCTAATGGATATCTAATAAAATATTGAATGTCCCATTTTTTTCATGTTTTTATTAAACATATACAGTTTACTTGTTCAATGTATCCAAATGCTTAGCAAGTTCATTTTCAGAATGTTTTGATAAACATTTTTCAAAAGAGGCTGCTTTTAAAAAAGATTATCAATAGTACATGTAAAAGATAACTTGTATTTATATACAGTGGCTAATATTTTGTAACTGATATTTGCAAATAAAACAGGAAAACACATAAATGTCCGAAAACAAATATGAGCCACTGTAATAGCAAAATTAGGTAAAATCATTTATTTAATATTATTCACACCAAAATTTTTATTAACTAATTGTAATAAAACTCCAATCATTTCTGTATGTATTACTACTGTTACTGAGAAATAAAGCAAGTTCACCATTTTTGAATCTACCATATTAATAAAATTTTCCTTTTTTAATATCACAAGGCAATTAACAGCTAGTATACAACCTGTCTTTATTTTAATTCTAATAAATATTAAAAACATGTTTGAAACTATTGTAAACCCATGTTTTTGCATGTACTGTATTATTGTACTTTATCATTCTATAAATTATTCTTAAATAAATCTGATGTTGACAACTGCCCGTTATTGAAGAAATGATTATGATCTCCAACATCATCATCTACATTATATTCAAAAACTTTGTTACACATTTTTGGCCCCAAGATTGTTTCACTGCAATAATTTTAATTAAAAATTTATTTTTAAGTAAATTAACACAGTTTAAATTTTTGTTTTATTATCTCATCCAAATGAAAAACTTAATACTTTTATTTTAATGCTGATTAAAGCTTTCAATTTTGTGAATGAATAAAAGAAAAAAATTCAGTTTGCAGAACTGCAAAACTGGGTGGGCATAATCAAGTCCTCCAGTCATTTCTATTTTAACAGAAATCACATATCAGTTTTAACATCATGTCAAAAATGACATAAGGCTGTTGAAATGAAAATATATTTAAAGGACTTTTAAATTAAGAGCATCATAGTTATAGAAAGTTAAAAAGATGACCTAACCTCGGATATTGACCTTGAAGTTCCCCATTCAATGATATTTTAACTACAACTTGGAATAAGAGTCTTTTAACATCATAGAAACAAGGAGTTTATGCATCTGAACACATTTTTAAAAAGCAATGCCAATTCGAACATACTTTTGCACTAAACTGTAACTAATATATATTATAGATTATATTTATTATCACTTAAAAGTACAGAAAGATTAAATGCATTAAAACCAAATATTTTTCATACAAAAAAGGTCTCTCAGAACAAAAACACTTACCCGGCATAATTCCCACTTTTCAACCATAGGAGCAACACAACCACCCAATACTGTAAATTGATTTTCACTTAAAAGCAAAAAATTGTTCTGTATATTAATTTTCCCAGGCTTCAAAAATATTTTTGTCCCTGGAGGAGTATCCATACTATTAAAAACATGAATTGAATCAATACATATAATTTTTTTTTTTTACAAATACATGATAAAAGCAGAAGATAATAATCTCAATGTCTCATTCTTTAAAAATAAATCTGATTAGTTACAATATAAAAGAGCACATTCATAAGTGATAGACTTATTAGTGATTATCATATATGAATAAAATGATTAAAAAGTGAATAAGTATATGAAAGATTTTAATATACTATGTTTACTGTGTGAGGTAGTTTCCTGCTAAATCAATACAACACTTTTATTCTAGCAACAGTTTGCACGTTGATAAACACTTACTTTGTTACCAAGAAACCAGACAATAAATTTTCAACTGTACAACAATGATCTATAAATCTATTTATAAAATCCACATCTCGACAATGATTTACAATTTCTTTTGGCTGCAAGATTTCAGGTTAGCAGATTTCATTGTAGTATATGAGTCTTGCATCAACATGAGACAGGGTTATAATATTTCTCCTTGAAGAACTGTGAGTCATTTGCTCTCTTATTTAAGTCACTTGTCCTATCCAATTTCTCTTTTAGTAATCCGTATATTGACACATGCTTCATTAAGGGTTACTGTATTTAAAAATGGATTATATTTTCCCCTGCACACAGGCACATCAAGGCACTCAATACCCAAAGAGATACCAGTCTCACTCTTTGAAACTATAAAATCGGACTTATGAATGTAACAGACTTACGGTACTTTAATGTTAATTGGGTACCACTTAGCATCAAATATAAACATAGGCATGAAATTTAACTAAGTGGCAGCAACCCTGATGATATATTAAGCTTTACAAAAAGAAAGATTATTTTACGTAATAAGTACAAAAAAGAAATACAAATACAAAATAGATTTTATCAGATTAATTTCAGATTACATGAGAGGCATAAAACTACCAGTTTCTTTTAACACTGCTGAAAATATTTTGGTCTTTTCATGCCATTGATATCACATAAATTTGATGAGGTAGGAATCTAGACAGTGCCACCCTGAGTTTTATACCTCCATTTTACCCATGGCATCTTGTACCAAACAACCAGAAACATCATATTTGTAATTAACTTGCATGTGCTCAAATCCAGCAGCTGGCAATTCATCTATTTACACAACTGAAAAACCTCGGAGAAATAATTTCCAGATTGATCTTAATTTTTCCCACTCATTCACAACGATATCATTACACAACTATTCATAACAGATAGTTGTTAACAGATTACCACAACTGGCACTTTGGCACACATTTGGTGGATAGCACCCCATTAACAAAAAATAATAGATTTACTAAAGCAACTTAACTATTAACCTGTGCAAACATTCATGGATCTCCATAAATGAGCATGGTTCTAAATCTAGAAACTATCAATACTAATTATGAAAAAAGTGGCAGAGAAGTTGTTGAGAATGAAAACGTTTCGACTGATATTTTAGTAGGAATTCTCGAAATGGTTGGCATAGCTCCACATGATAAGACATGGAATTCTTTTTCTGTAATTCCACAGCAATTATAGTACTTGAAGAATGATATTTTGTAACTGAAAAAGAAATTATATCTATCTATAGAATTAAAAAGTAAATTTAAACAACTTATATTGAAAGAAATGCTTAGCAAAACAAATAAATATTGAGCATTTTTTTTGGGGGGGAAGGTAAATTTTGATTCTCATAAATGCTTCATTATTTCATAAGTAACTATTTCGTATGTTTAATTTTATAATTTCTATGCCATCTTACTAGATTTAAGGTCAACTAGTGACCCACTGGTAACAAACACTGAACACTGGTAGTCTGGTCCAGAGTTAGAGTTCTGGTTATTCTATGACATAATACGTTTATACATGTGCGTTTAATGCATAACGGATGGTATCAGCTACGCTAAAATGATCTAATTATCTATTTCAGTTAATGTTGCAGATTGCGTTGTTCCTTAATCTTCTAATTGGATCCGGCTTATTATTTTTTGCAGACTGTTAGAGCAATTTTATAAAAGTAAGCTTCAACTTTCGATTATGTCAAAATGAATTTCCGATTCTGGAGCTACCAAAGGATCTACAAAGCGAAAGCATGTTTTGATGTCCATAAAAAAAAGTGAAATTGCTGCAAAAAATGGATAAAGGCATATCCTTTGATTCTCTAACAATTCCGAAATATGTTTATCAATTTCATGCTGCTCTTCGGGGGGGGGGGACGACGCAGCGCGCAATGAACTGGAAGTTTATCTGTCAGCACTATCCTTATCTTCAGGGCAGATTTTTAATTTTATTCGGCTTATAATTCCTTACTAAATGTAGTATTTCATCTCGATGTACTCCGTCTTTGATATGATTTATATCAAATTCCTTGTCATTATAATTCGCTTCCGATAGTGAAGAAAGTGACACAGACTTTTGACTGTATGTGGCAACCCACATATACAGTAGCATATATGTTTTGGCCGCTGCACAATCTTTTGATGCTCTGAAGTCTTTTGATGATAAGCTTGTGAAATTCTCTATTTTTTTTTAAACACAAGCTGATCACTGTGTTGTGGCTTAAGCTCACTTGTCTCATGTAGTCAGCCCAAGCCCACGAAATTCCTCGTGGCAAGGAGTGCTAGATTACGCCTGCCGTTGGCAACAGCCTTGAACATCATTCTGGTGACAGTATAAGGTATTTCTCCCACTTCCCTAGTGTGCCTTCATGGTTAGCAGACTGGGCTGGTATTCCAGAGGTCCATGGTTCGATTCCCGGCGAAGGCGGTTGCATATTTTTCATCTTTTCTGCTTCCAATTAACCTAATGACTCTACAACAGTGCGATTTAGCTCAGTTCCCCCCCCCCCCCCCCGAAATTTGATGCAGATCACTGGGGGGACGGGTCCGAAGGTCTCCCACTTCTGTGCCCTTCCACCAAACCACGCGAGAGGACTTTCGGCTGGCCGCATATTTAGACTGCTGCACAGACACCATACATTTACAAACATTCATGCCTTCTCCGGGATTCAAACCCTGGCCCTTCAGCATGGCAGTCAGCAACGCTAATCGCTATATCAGTTGGGTGGCTGATCGCTGTGTTCATGGGAAGAACAACAGTACAAAAAAGAAAAATTTCTTAACAGAAAGCATTTTATTACTCATGTTTCTTGTTTTTTAAGTTTCGCTGATTGACTATTCTTGAATGGAATTCTTAGTATGCCATCATTTTCAAAATAGTTGTTGCTTTTTGTATATTAGCTTGCAAAAAAAATTAGTCAATTAAGAGTTCATGATTTCTTTGGTGGGGTTGTGAATAATCAGAAATTATGTATCAATAAGTATGATAACAAATATATTAATATTCTTTATGTGGCAGTTACTGATAAGCATTTTACAAAGTATTTATCTCTCTTGAACATATTCAAACATTGTTTTCAGTAAGTCTGAAAAGTACAAAATAGGCAGAAAAATATACTTACGTTATGGATTTCCACTGACCCCACTGTAAACAATTAACATATGCATTACCATCAGTTAATAGTAATCTTAGAATTGCTGGAGCACCAGAGCCATACTCATATTTTGGAGCACTTGCATTTTTAATTTTCTGAATCTGCACAACACCACCACCTGCAATCTAAGGATAACATACCATAAATACTTTAGTAAGTACTAAATAAAGAAAAGAAAATTCATGCATAGTCTTAAAAGAATTTATTTATTGTTAAGTAATCAGAAATATATATTCCAAATGTAACTTGAATACAGGAATTTATAAATCAGTAATTCACATTTAATACTGTCATTCCCAAAAGCATAAGTAATTTTATTCTGCAGAAAGCCAACTTAATAGCTTATTTTTGTTCTTTTCTTTAAATAATTATTGCTTTTCTTGTATCCAATTTGTAGGCTATAGTGCTTTAGGATTTTCTATATGAATCCTTAACTCGACATTACCCGTGTGACAAAAAACGAACGTTGTTAATCGCCCAGGGTATGTCATTATATTTTCTACTATTAAATCTATGCAAGAAAGGTTAAAAAAAATTTTTTTAAAAGAATATTATAAAGCTAGCTAATCATGCTACTTACATTTATTTTGTATATTTTCTGCAAATACATGCCATGTGTTCCTTGTCACACTTTTCACTAATAAATTTAGTTTTTCTGTCTCTTCTATCAGGTTATTTAGTGCATCTTTTAGATATTACTTTGGCCTTCTTTGTATGTGGTGCGATGTCTCCATTGGATCCTAGTTTTTCTTTTAAGTTTCATGGAAGCATCATGTGTTGGCTTCTATTTTTCTTGTATTCTTCTGCAAGTTGAAATCCCAAATATTTCAAAACTGATCACCTCATTTGATGTTCAGTAGGTGGTTTCTTAGTAGATACAAAAATAAGTCATGTATTTATTGCAGCAATGCTCAACGCTGCAAAAAATATTGCCATGGGCAAACGATTAGAGTTCCTAGCTGTTCAATATGTGGCAGCAATGTCTACATCGACTTTAGATAAATTGTAGAAACTTTTAGATAAATTTTTTACTTTTAGATAAATTGTAGAAAGTTATTATTTCAGGTTTTTTCTAGTCTTCATAGATGAGTCTATTGCATCATCATTATGCATAGTTGAAAGTAGATTAACATTCTTTTTTTTTTTTTTTTTTTTTTTTTTTTTTTATGTAAGTGCGACAATTATTGTGTCTTTTTGGAAAACAAACATGGAGGAGTTAATCTCTCTCTTCTTTGAATTCAAAAACATTGGAGAAATCTCTTTTATTTGTTCTTATCGTTAAAATGATAGTTATTCATCCGAAGATACAATATCCAATAAATTTCTCAAATATCTCATTTCTTCATCATAACTGCAATAACGTGCCATATTGGAAGAAAAATTTGAAAGCTTGTTCACATACTCAGAACTGTAACACAAATACTTGCCAGGATATAATATACCCGTCGAAGCTATAGCTGAAAAACTATTTTCAGAATTCGGCCCCAGGTTTCCTCTTCTTGAGACAAGTAATTTTATGAGAAAAATAAAAACTGGTATATTCTGATTATTCACATTCCCAAATTCAACATATGATAAAACTGCTGTTTTTGCCATATTTTTGAGTAACGGTCATACGACAGTAGGCAACATAGGTGTATGCATATCATACATGTGTTTGAGTGCACACAGATCTGTATACTTATATGTAATCATCATTTCAACTAACATTATTCATCAGCTGTTAAAGGGTACATATTGGACATAAAATATTTTCTTCCCTAAATTTTTTTAATTTTTATAAAATTTTCTTTTTCTTAATATTTATCAACAGAACAATAATTATGAGTCCTGAAGTTATCCAAACAAAAATTTTTTTGCCAATCTGCAAGGTCATTAATGAATTTTCAATTTTTATTGCGGATATGAAGAATCAATCAGAAAGTTTCTAAAAATTTATATCACTGATAATTACACCTTTATGGCCTATGGATACTGTTAGCAAAATGACAGTTAAATATAAAATGTGTAAATCCATGCATACTCTAATACGCATGTGGTATGCACAGGCCTGGCTTGGTTTTTATCATGTATATACTTGTGTCAAAAACATGGCAATTAATTAATTTGAAACTGGGAGGTAAAGATAATCAGAAAGCAATGGTAGTCTCAAAACTGCAGTGACTAGAAATTGCATTCAATGAATATTATCCAATATAGGATTCTACAACAACAGCCAGTATAGAATTCAAAAAGTCTAAGAACTCTTAATTACACTAAACCATATTTTTTAAGTAAGTAAATATGAGTAATAATGAAAATGAATTAATAAATAAAAGCGATGTTCATAAAAGAAAACATTACAGTCATATGCATGTAGTATTTTAATTGCATAGGAAGAATCCAGTACTTTCTTTGAGCAGCTTTTTCGATATTTGTCATAGCTGAGAAGACAGTAGTGGCTAAGGGTAAAGGTATGATGACGCAGTTAACACAACTGAGCTTGAAGTATCATAATCTTTATTTTGATGCATATCAAACCATCTTAGTAGACATTTACCAATTATATTTCAGTACAATACTTTTTATTTACATTGGTTTTAAAAGACATAGGCATCTTAGACTGAGAAGCAAGGCTGCACGGATGTTGGCATGGCAGAAGCTAGGAAAAGGAATGATGCAGTTACTTGTGAAAAGTATTTATACTAAGTATGATGCATAAGTACAGCTAATCTGTGACTGGTTAATTTTAGGTTGTTCATGGAAAGATCGCAAATTTGGTACACCAAATTTAGAATAGCTAATTTTGAGGTTGCCGACTATTTCTTTCAGCAGCCATCATATTTTGTTATATCTTACATGCATATACTACTACCTGCAGTCTATTGACAAATACACTTTAATCGATGCTTCTTTAATTAGCTTATATTGCAAAAATTAAATCAAATGGATGACCTGCATAAAATTATGTGACACATCTATCTAACAGTCACTGAAAAGTTATTCTCCACGTACATAGGACAAAGTTATCCAGTAACATGTATTTACAAAGCATAAAAGGAAATTTTTTGTTGGCTACTGGCTGGCTTCCATTAGGATACAAGCCATGATAACATAAAATTAAGCTAACTCACTTTTTTACCCTTCTGGTTTTAAGAAGTCTTCAGTACACCACCTCATAATAGTATGATTAGGATTTTAACAAACTGGATAGACCAAAAAATTGAATGAAGAAAGCAACATTCCCATATTCAGTTAAAAAGAAATTTATACACAAATGCAGAATTACACATTGTATAGCAATAAGACAATCCTTTGTCTTATCTGATAAAAGAAGTCCAGCTATTATCAATAAAAATTAAACATTTTTCAATGTTTTTGCATGTCACAGGTTCATATAGAACTCCTTAATAAATATGCCAGATAAACAGAAAGAAAATGACACTCTGTTGAAATACATATCAGCTCATACCCCAAGGTAATAGCTATAAATCACTCAAGGAAGAAATAAGATAGCTATATTGGCTTTTAACAAAAGTTTCCCATCACCACAAATATTATCTGCATAAACAGTTTGCGTTAGCATGTTTAATCATATTTTGTGAAACAATTTTTGGTATTTGAAAGAAAGAGACTTGCTTTAGAAGACTGTGTTGTGAAATTAGTAAAAAAATATCGTTAAGTATGAAATGGTATGTCATTAAGTATGAATGGTATTAAGTACGTCTGAAATGGAACTACCACACTACCAGATTAGAACCATCATTTACTTCCAGTTCTGTTATAAAAGTCAGCTACAGAATATCACCAAACCATGTGTACAGCTTTGGGTACTAATGTATCATATGACACTGTGAAGGTTTGGTACCAAAAGTTCAAAAACAAGGACTATGACATTCAAGAAGCAGAGCGCTTGTGCCGGCCTACTGATATTGATGAAGCCCACCTGCAAGAACTTATGCAAGAAGATCAGTATGAAACCACTCGAAGGCTTGCTAAGGAGTTAGACATTAGTGCCATGTCCATTAGTCGCACTATGCATTGCATAAACTTTACAAGTTCAAACGCTGGGTAACGCATGAACTGACTCAAGCAGATAAGGACAGACATGTTCACACCTGCACTAATCTGCTTGAATATAAATATAAGGACAAAATTCTGGACCAGATTGTCACTTGTGACGAAAAGTGGATTTACTTCAACAACACACGCGGAAAAGGGGGTTGGTCTGCATACCAGTGAGTCTGTCGGCAGCATCGCAAACCTCAATTTGACTAACACAAAGATTATGCTTTGTATTTGGTAGGACTGTCCTGTTTTTATTCATAAAAAAATATTTGAAAAAAGGTAAACTGTTGACGGTAAGGTATACAGTGAGATGCTAGTCCATGTTGACACTGATACCAAGGAGAAATGTTGAACTGGCAGAAAAAGGCAATGTTCCATCAAGACCACATGTGTCTGTATTCACTGGTTGGACTTTGCCACAGCCACCAAGTTTTTAGGTTGAACTACCAAAAAGTAAGCAGAAAAATTATAGATTTGGGTGGTGATTACTACTCACACTAAAGGTACTCTTTCCATGTTTTTTTTTTTTTTTTTTTTTTTTTTTTCCTAACTTTATTAAGAAAATTTTTTGGTAGAAAACTTTCACTATAACCAGATATAAAAATAACAAAATCAAATCTAAAACAGTGATCACTAAGCTAGAGCTCAATACAGTTAGTTGCATAACTCTGTACTGAATAACTGAACTAACCAAATCTCCAAAGTAGTGAATATTATAGAACTACATAAGCACTTCGAGAAGATTCGACAAAATTTTCTCATAGGCTTTGAAAATGCATTTTTCAGAATCTCCCATATGTTGCCATTTTAAAGTTAAAAATTGTCACCAATCTGTCAAGAGATTTCTATTCACATTTCTGGTTCTCACTGAGCTATCTATACAATTCAAACACTGACTGATTTAGAATTAAAAATCTACAATACAATGCAAGAAACAAATACAAAAATAATAAGATCAGTTAAAAAAAATATACACAGTAAAATTGTAATTTATAATGCAGCAAATAAGTAAATGAATAAATCAAAACAATACACAACAGATATATATAAAAAATACAATAGAATAAACACATATCTCTAGAAACATTCCCAACAATATGCATAAAATTTAATAAACAAATTTATTAGAAAGCCAGTATCTCTATCCAACAGTCCTGTTTCATACCACCCCACTTCTCCTGTTTCATACCACCCCACTCCACAATATCTTTAACAAGTTATGAAAGGTAGGGTTAGATTTAAAATTTTAAAATTACAACCATATCTAAATTCATTAAAAGCAAACTAAATAAAACATAAACAACAAACTGCATTCCACTTTTAAAAAGTAAATAAATACTAAGCACTCACAGATTCAAGTTTTCCTCTACAGATATCTTCAGGGAAAAAATTTCCTCCAATATCTCGCAAATCCATCTATGTGGAGAAAAAAATAAAAGCCTTTATTTATAGTTTGAATGAAAGCTCATATTTAATTCAAAAAATTTCACATCTAGGAAATCTTAAAGCATAACACTTTTTGATTAATGTATACATTTTGATAACTGGTTAACAGACAAACACAGGACAACAGAAATGCATATATTTTGATAACAGGTTCAGTGGTTTCAGAATACTGTTTGTAACAGTGCAGCAGCTTATTTATTAATGGGCATAGAAATTGAGGTCAATGAAGCAGGGGAAAAGCAACTCGGACTTTACGAAAATACAACTATTGACTCGTAAAAAAAAAACTATAGTTTTTTACGAGAGAAGTGTATTATAATTCTTCTAAGTGTTATTCTTTAAGTGTATTATGTATTCTTCTGTTCTTTACAACTAATTCAACAGATAAATAAGTGGCTGGGCTGAAATACAGATGGACCTGGAAAAAAAATGTAGATATAAATAAAAATCTGTTTGTACAGGGAAAAAATTACAAAAGACAGGGTTTATCCACAATACCAGATATTTGGCAGGTTATGTTGAGAAACTGGTGTTTTTCTTGCTCAGATTCCAAATATAGAAATAATCATACCCATGACAAAAATCACTGTTTATGTACTAGAGGGACAGACAGTTTATTCGGACTGCTGATAACTAAATAAAACATATAAACTGGAAAAGGCAGGTTAGAGATATTTTACTGTAAACTATAAGTTTTGTTTTGTTGAACCAACAATAGCTGCTCATACCCAAAATGTGTACTGTTCTGCTAAGAGGCAGAATAAAAATAATGAGACATTTTTTGCTATCATTATGAATCATACTTGCAAAGGTCATGAGTCGAAACTATTTGGAATGAGAAAATGCATCTGATGCTATATTAAAAGCAGACGCAGAAACATGGCAGCCACAGAATGTTTATGGACTTGGTGATAATCCTGATGCCAACTTGGCATTTAAAAAAATTGAGACCATAATATTTAACAAAAAATCATTTAACTCTTTGTGGTAGTATGTTTACTCTCAGCCAGCAAAGCTTTTTTATCATCGCAATCATATGTCTCCTCTCAGCCACCACAACAAAGAACAATACTGATCTTATATTAAGCTGACAAGTTAATCTTGCATATTATGTATTACTGTTTGTTCAATGAAAGCTTATTCTGACCAACATGATATAGAGGTGTAAACTTTAAATGATTGCAATGGATTAAGCTTCTGTAACAGTAATTCTCAACTCTTTTGTCCCATTTCTAACTTTTCTCCATTCGTCAAGATGTTTTTTCCAACACCCTTTTCAACTGTTATTTTCCAAGACCTTTTAGGTTCAAGTGGTATAATTAAACTAATGCATTTTAATGCAAACTTAAAGTTTATCAGTTTACATACTTGCATGATAACTATGTTTAACCTTTTCAGAGCTTTTGGATAACATAATTTAAACTCTGCTGTAACCAACTTTTGCCTCAAGCCTTTTTTTGCAGATTTAAATTACCAATTCTGAGACTGAATAAATATCCTTTCCCCAACAAAAAAAAAAAAAAAAAAAAAAAAAAAAAAAAAATTGACATTTTCCTTTGGGGAGAATTCTGCCCCTTCCCCGGTTAAGAATTGTTACTTATATTAATGAACTTACAACTGTGTAACATAAAAAAAAAAAAAAAAAAAAGTTTCAAAACTATTATTTCCACAATATCTTTAACGAATTAAAGAAGCTGAAACAGCAAATATCATCTAGCTTTTCTTAATTAAAAAAACTAGATAAAACTCTACATTAGGTAATCCAAAATTTCTCTTGTACATGTCTGAAAGGGTATATTTAAAAAATAAATTTATGCTATAAAGTACTTAAAACATGTCACATTTTCATAGCAATTAATATATATATTTGAAATGAACATCTTATTCTGAAAAAAAAAATTTTTTTTTGTATAAAATATAATGGTCAATTAAAATAACATACCTAAAACAAACACCTTCATATGAAAAACTGGTACTCTTCTGTTATCAGGGATAACCGGTTCAGAAATGTATATATGGATGTATGTGCTAATGTATATATGTATGTGCATATATACACAAACACACACACATACAACATGTCCATACATACATACATTCTTGAATCCAGCCCCAATAGCAAAAGAGTACCGAAAAATTTATTAAAAAATATTAGAATAGCAAAAATTATGAATGAATTATAATAGCGAAAAATGTATATATTTACATCAATGGCTTTCTGAATAACCGAAGATACAGTTATTCTATCAAGGCCCTCTTTGCAGAGTTCAAATCCCTCTTTTGAGAAATGCCTAGGAGATAATAAAATATGACAACATAAAAATTTGTTTATCAATTTCAGACTTATACTTCAGACCTATATTTCAACTAATAAAATTATATATTAATTGAAGTCATATCATCTATGTAGCTGAGTATTATTTAATAACAATGTGAAATCCTTTCAGCCAGAAGGTCCCAAAGCGTCAAATAATCTGCTTATGACACACACTTTAATGCACATATTATTCAGGATTTTAAATTTGATTTCCTAGATTACTTTGGACAAGTATACACAAGGCTTTTGCAGATGCATTATGTCCGAGATTTCTTACAACTGTGCAAAACTTGGTAAAATCAATGATACCAAGATGATGAACTCTTCTTCTTAGAAGTAATTTTTACTGCCATCAAAAGTAATTGCTAATTTGTGTTCTATTATAATTCCAACTGAAGATGAAAATCACATTCAGAAATCCAGTATGCTTCGGGTTCTAGCCAAAATTTATTTTCAAATTTTTTCATTATTTGATACAGCATTTAAAATTTCAAAAGCACTTCCTTGTTAAAGCAGCTACTATACTTACTTAGTACTCAGACTGGCAATACTATACTTAGTACTTAGACTGGCAATACTATACTTAGTACTGAGACTGGCAAATTTAATCCTCTAATCTAGAACATGCAAATTTCAAACATCATCAAAGATTTATGCGATGGCAGTTCTAACAAGGAAGCACCATCTCAAATTTAAAGAGAAACAACAAAAAGCTGATCCAGTAAAGTTTCAGACTTTATCCACAAGAAATTCTACTTCATTTATCCTCCCTCCCCCCCCCCAAAAAAAAAAGTTTCAAAGAAAAATAAATCTATGAAAATGATAAAACCATAAACATTTTTTGGGGGCATGTGATATTTGAAATCCTAATCCTAAAATTTCAAATGAAAAATATAAATGGAGTGTATACTTGTAGAGACATTAGAATTTTTTGGAAGCATGAAAGATGAAAAATTAGCAATAGCTACGGACCTCTGGAATATTGGCCCAGCGTGCAGACCACCACACAACGAAGGCACGCTAAGAAGGCGGGAGAAATACCTTATATACTTCCCTTTTTAAAGGGTGACTGGGGTTTTAGGGGACCAATCGCCAAATCCTGTGTGTGGAGAATCACCACCCTTTTAGTTTGTGTGCCACTGCAGAGACATTAGGATTTTTTTGAAGCATAAAAGATGAAAAATTATCAACACTGTAGCCGGGAATCCAACCATGGACCTGTGGAATATGCGCCCAGCGTACAGACCACCACACTATGACAACATGCTAAGAAGGCGTGAGAAATACCTTATATGCTAAGCAAAAGAAAACAGGAAAAGCAGGTTTGAGATAAATAATATTTTAGCTTATTAAATCAATAAAAAAAATACTTCTTTCAACATAAATTATTTCTTTTGCTTTAGCTTACTTAGAAAACATTTTCACAGGTACAAGTATAAGCAGTACTATGTGGGACATCAGAAATTTAGCACTGGTCATATAGTTCTGCTGCACTAACTGTACAGTTTACCCCAGTTTTTAGGAAAAACATTCTGGGGAAGTTGCAGTCCTCACCCCTCTTTCCCTACCATATCCTCTTGAAAGGACTTTTGGTTCCCTATGTATTTTGAGTGCCCTCTTGCCATAAAGACACTATTCACTTAACAAACATCCATGCCTTCTCTAGGATTCATACCCCAGGCCTATCGACAGAGAAGTCATCATCACTAAACACTACAATGGCTGGGCGGCAAAAACATTTTTGCATCAGATGTATCATTAAATTATGTAGTTCCCTCTGTACACTGTGCTTGTCATTCAGACAGGATAGTGACTAGTACAGTCTTAGTAATCTTTAATCCGGACTTCAAAGCTACAAACTTTCTGCGCATGTGTAAACGCATAATGCACTTACGCATGTGCATATGCATTTACGCATCCGCACAATACATTTACGCATGCGCATTTAATGTATAACGGATGGTATAAGCTAAGCTAAAATTATCTAATTATCTATTTCAGTTAATGTTGCAGATTGCGTTGCTCCTTAATCTTCTAATTGGATTCGGCTTATTATTTTTTGCAGACTGTTAGAGCAATTTTATAAAAGTAAGCTTGAACTTTCGATTATGTCAAAAAGAATTTCTGATTCTGGAGCTGCCAAAGGATCTACAAAGCGAAAGCATGTTTCGATGTCCACTAAACAAAAAGTGGAATTGCTGCAAAAAATGGATAAAGGCATATCCTTTGTTTCTCAAACCATTCCAAAATCTGTTTATCAATTTCACACTGCTCTGCGGGGGGGGGGGGGGCGTCGCAGCAGGCAATGGACTGGAAGTTGATCTGTCAGCACTATCCTTATCTTCAGGGCAGGTGTTTGTGTTTTATTTGGCTTATAATTCCTTATTAAATGTAGTATTTTATCTCGATGTACTCCGTTTTTGATATGATTTAAATCAAATTCCTCGTCATTATAAATATCACGAATACACATCAAATAGTTTTCTTGCAATATTTCTTGCATCTTAGGTTGCAATTTTTTAACTTCAACTATGCGTAATGTATGCTTTACGCATGCGCGCGTTGAAAGAAATGTTTAATAAAGTAAACAAATAAATATTAAGCTTTTTTTTGGTAAATTTTGATACCCTTTAGATCATAATTGCTCTTTATTTCGTAAATTACAGTTTCATATTTTTAATTTTATAATTTTTGCTTGCCATCTTACCAGATTTTAATTGATGATCTATAATCCGGAAAAACCGATAATCTGGAATTGCCGAAGTCCCGATGAGTTTGGATTAAAGACTTTTGACTGTAGTAATACAATCTTAAATCAATTACAATGTATTAAAAATATTTGCACAGATACAATAGATCTGCAATGCGAAATTTTGCTCCTTATTAAAATCCTCAAAAATAATCTAATACCTAATTGATTTATTAACCATTGTCTTAAAAGGGCAGGTGTTAAATACTCACTTTAAATCATTCAACTGATAGGAATATGGTTTTGGATTTTGGAATGGTTAGAAAAATAAAGAATAATCTAATACCTAATTGATTTATTAACTATTGTCTTAAAAGGGCAGGTGTTAAATACTCACTTTAAATCATTCAACTGATAGGCATATGATAATTGGTTCCTAAACCAGAGAAGGTGGTATAAGTTACATGACTATCAGTTGGAGGATTTGTACATAGTGTAATTACAAAATTGTATATAATGTAAAAAATAATTATTTACATGCTTTTCTTATGTTGTTACTAAAAAATGAGCCTATTTCATACTCTTTGGTCTGTCAAATAGCTCGTTGACAGTGAAAATTACTTTTTTCTCTTTCTTCTTTTCTTCCTCGTTTCAACATGACAATTAGCCAGAAATTAATTAATTTCCATTCACTAGTTAGTATATTCAAAATTTTAACAGACATTCTCACTCACGTAAGAACTCTGCAACAAACATCCCTCAAACATTCCTAGTCCCTCCCATGTCCCAAAAATAGCTTCTCAAAAGTTTCACAGCCTGTAACAATTCAAAGTATCCCCACTGCCAATAACGGAATTTTGAACACACACCCCTTCTGAATAAGACACAGAAGAGAACACTTTACTGACATTCTTACTAGAAAGAACATAAGTTAATTAATACATTTTCTGGCCTTTTATATCTTCATGTACATTTCACATTTTACTTTCTTATTATACTATATTTTTCAACTTTTATTTGATTTGTTTTTGCAAAGATAGCAATATTATGTTTCTTATTTTTCTCATGTTTATTTCAATTACTTTGAGTTATATTTCATAATTCCAATTAAGATTACTACTGTTTATTATGTTTATTTTTATAAAAATAGTCTTGCATTAACATGCATAAAAGCAAAGGTGTCGGGGGACATTTACTCAAGTATTTTGTAAATTTTACTACATAAATTGGCTTTTTACTCAAAATTTCTAAAGAATCTTGTATTAGCGAAAATGCTTCATTCAGAATGAGTTCTTTGGTACTCTTCTTTGATCATAAATCCCATCACTTCCCGGAACTACAATTTTGGCCTAACTTAATTTGCCAGTTTGGCATCATCATTTTTACTTGAGTAAAAGACGAAACAGCTTCGCATTTATTAATTATTGTTTTTTGAACGGGAGTTGGTTTGTTCCTTTTGAAAAGTCAACTAATTTCCGATCAATAGTGATAAATACTTGTTTTTAAATTTTTAATTTCTTTTTCAAAGTTTGAAAATTTCCTATTCATGATTTAAATTCAAGTCCCCTTAAAAAGTTTTTTCATGATTTACATTCAAGTTCCTTTAAAACACAATTTTCTGAATTAAACTTTGTACATATGAGTTCCCTCTTTTTGAAACATTATACTAAATTTATATTAGGACATAATATAATCAATATTTCTTTAGTAAATATATCTATATGATGCTGATATAAAATCACTAATATTTCAATGCTGTAAGCAGTTGTCCAACTTTACGATATGATGTTTTACATCAGACAATTTTAATCATAACTTACAGGTGGAGCTGTTTTTTGTCAAACAGTGCAGACTTATTTGTACTCCCTATACGATGTATTGATCAACACATAAAATGTACCAAAAGCCAGAAAACTGTACTACATATCTCTTTTAAACTTCATGTCTATAACACCAGATTTTACTTTATATTTTGCATTGAAGGTATTACATGCAAATATTAAGCAAATTAGCCAGTACATTTATTCTAAAAGAGATAACACACACACAGCAGATACCATTTAATGTGATCAGGGTTAATGTTATTATTTGGATATTGTTAATGAATTGAAGAAGTCTTACCCATTTGAATACAAGAACATTGACAATACATCGCTAATTGTGATCAACTGTTCAGTTAATATGATCTAAGTATTATAGAATAAATTTTGTTTTAAACTAAGTATAAAGTTAAGATACAATAACACGTTGAACAAATATTAATTTAGAAGTCAAACAACAAAAATCAACATTATATTTTCAAATTTTCACAGGACTAGTTTTGATGGTTTTACCAAACCATCATCCTCAGCCACAAAGGCACAAATGAATGGTTACCGTAAACGAAACAACAACTTAGCCTTAAATAAAACAATAACTTTGTGATAATACAAGGGGTACCTTCAATCTGCTCTAACCCACCAAATAAAGGATTAAATTTTCAAACAGCTTGGTTTGGATTTTAATCAGCCATTTAAAATTAGGTGAAAAAGCATTCTTAATTTCATGTACATTTTTAATAACTTTAGCGATTTTGAGGGTGATCAGACTTTCTTCTCCAGGAGCAAAAAAATATTCTATCACAAAATAAGGTTGCTTTTTTGCTTAATTCAAAATTTTACATTGGCATGTTCTCTTCCAACAACGCATACCTTCTGAATACTAAGATTAGGGTTAAATAGCATCCAGAAACGTTATGAACATTCATAAATGAATTTTTGCATTGAAGAAACTGCGAACAGTTTATAAGTAAACTCTTGCATTTTCTTAGTTAAAATGCTGTGAAAGTACCAATTTATATGTCTCTTGTTGTGTTTATATAAAATTAGTTAAATTTAATTGCTGTTTTGAAGAATAATTTTCTCACTCTTGAATGTTATCATTTGGTTAATGTTATTAAACAGCCTTGACAAATGTGATCACATAAAATAGTTCCTACTATATTTTCAGTATTTCACTATCTTCTAAATTAAGTTTTCTACACATATAACTGAAATTATTCAGAACTAAGAATTAAAAAATAATAAGTTTATAGCAGCACATATGAATCTCGCATTAAATATGTTACCTTCTGCTATCTGAGAATAATTTCATGAACATACACTTTGTTACAAAAATATATATGCACTTAGAAAAAATTAGCTAAATGGATAAAGTCAAGGTCGATGTGTACATGGATAAAGTCAAGGTCGATGTGTACATGGATAAAGTCACAATGCCATTTTTGTGCAATCCTGGGATGTTTTTTTAAGTGAAAATAGGTCGATGTGTACATGGATACCGAGTATGCGCAATTCTTAAAAACGTACTAAGCAGTGGGCAATTCTGCATTTTCCCCTAATTTTTTAATGATGAACCTTTGGATTATGGTTAACTCGGCAATTTTTTGGCGACCAACCCTGCTACAGCAACCTGCTGGTTTTTGTTTGCACGCCATTTTGTTTTAACAAAGTAAAGGCTTTTTTTTTTTTTTTTTTTTTTTTTTTTAAACTCAAAATTTTTTACAACAATCTGCTAGCCGAATTACGCTTATGCTAGAAATTTTATGGAACAAAAGTGCTTAATCATGATGAAGATTAGGTGCGAAATTGGGAGAACGTGCAGAATCACCCACTGCTTGCCGGGTTTTTAAGAATTGTACATACACGGTATCATCCATGTACACGTCGACCTATTTTCACTTAAAAAAAATCCCAGAATTGCACAAAAATGGCATTGCACACACTCTTGACTTTATCTATGTACACTGCTAAAGTTCTAGCTAGTAACCTTTATCGCCTTACCAAAATGTTGCCAAACTACCTGTTACCATATTCCAAAGATTAGCCTTTTTAACCCATTATATATATATGCAAGGAATTTTCATGTCCCATTACACAAATGATTTCATAATATGTTATAAAGATGGCAACATCTTAATGTGAGTAAACAGCTGTTTGTCAAGATTAAGACCTTCACTAGAATATTCTGGCAGCCTTGACAAGGATTGCCATCTTCACGATCCAAATCTTTGTAAAGGTGGCGACACATCTGAGAATGCTTTGTTGGTGGCGGCGCATCTCAAACTACTATAATAATGTCAAAGCACTTTAAAGTCTTGGTGCGTGACGGCCAAATTGAAAAGGTGCCATTGTGCAACCTGATGAATGTTTGTTACTTTCACACATTGTTACTTCACTTTCCGCAAGATTCTGAATTTCATAATATTAACGGTACCTTTGAGGCTTTATGTCATAGCGCACTGTGCTTTGGTGAATGACATACTTCTTTTCAAGTTGCCCCGCCAGTTAGACCAACCCAATCAAACCCTGAGTAACACAACTAATAAAATCCTCATTGGATTGATTTTTACAGATCTTATAAGACTAAAAAAGGAAAAATGTTATCAAAAGTGAACTAGTATTTAATAAAAATATTAATATAATTCATCTAAGTAACATTAAATACACTTATTTACACTGAATACGTTTTATAAATAATTTTCTGACATGTTAAATGTATAAAACTACAACATAACAGAGAACTAAAGCAGCTGAAAAAAAACTTAAGAGGTACGAAATAATCTCACCATCCTTTCGCCTTTAATTCTGCCTCAATATCCATATCTAGTTGAATTTAATAACCAGACCAGACACACTTAGACAAATTACACAAATGTCTTGTTTTGCACCCGCTAAATCTTTCTGTCTGCAGGGCGAAATATCAAGCTTAGGTGCGAAGGAAGAAGACAGAGTAAGGGGCGAATTCAAGTGCAACGCTTGTCATGGTAATCGCACTTGCATTGCATTGCAAAACCGAATTCAAGTGCAACGCTTTTCGGACACGCCTACTGAAAATACGTCACTACCATAGAGGAATTTTGCGGCTACTCCTGACCTGCCGCAAACTCTTAACAGCGACTGTAAACAAGATGGCTGAAGTGATTTTGCTCAGACGTTTAAGAAATCGGAGAAATGCTGATCGAATTCCTTGGCATTTAAAGAGACAGTCGTAATGCTTTTGAAATGGTGGAGCGTGAATTCATCAGTTGATTCAGATTAAATCGGTTTGCTTCAATGAATTGAAACCTTTTCTGAAGGCAACTGCCAATGGATATTCTCTGCAAAAGCAGGTTTGTTTTTACTTTCAGATTATGAAAATTGAAATACTTCTGGAAATTTTTCCGAATCAAAGACTATGCTTAAATGACCTATTTGAGAATATTATATATTTTTATACGTAAACACACAAATTTTTAATGTTATTGTATCAGGATTCTTTCTTTTTCATCCCGTTTTTTTTTTTTCGTAGTAATGATCGAAATCGTTAATTACTGCGAATTTTGGAATGCAGTAATAATATCACCATTAATTTATTGTTTTAATTACTCTAAAACGTAATCTCGGAGAAATTGTTTTTCTAACAGAAATTATGCATATGCCTGTCTTTGAGATATATATATGTATATATTTGGGATTAGTTTTTTGGAATATTATATATTTTTTCATGGTTTTAGATACGTGCATTTAATTTACATATGCTCTCAGAATTTCAGTGATATAGTAAATTAGTTTGCAGCAATAATTAATCTTTGATATGTATGCAATTAAAATTTCATAATTTAAATTAACTTTATATGAATAGAGAATATTTGTTAAATTCAAATTTCATTCTTTGCAGCAATGGCACATGAGAATTATTTAAATTTAACTTTACTTTTTATTCTTATGAAACAATATATATATATTCTGTAACTGTAGGGGGAAAAAGCATGAATTTTTCTCAGCTGTTTAAACAGTTCCCATGTGTGTAAAATAGTATTTCATCCCCCAAAATTAGTTAATTTTTTCTCCTAATGTATAATGTGCCTGTTCGTACAGTGTGATTAATGTCATGGTAATTTTGGATACTTTCTATAGATCTTGCATAATAACTACACATGTAAGTTATATACACATTCGTAAATCTCTTATGATATGAAAAGTTATTGCAGACTTTCACATAACTAGATATTCTCGATAACAGGTGACTTACCTTACTTCCGTAGACCATGATCAGAATTAAATAAACTTATAAGGTTATCATACTAAATTACACGAAAAGCAGCATGACATAAATAAATACAAAGAAATTAAATTTATTTACTGTACTAATAGATTATTATATTACATGACATTGGTTTTGCCCATGTATAATGGGAATGAAAGCCAGTTTTCCATAGAAAGTCCTCTACAGGGGCATCTGTTTTCTTAAGCAGATTGCTTTTACCACATTTCAGTGACCTTGATTTAAGTATGAAACTGGATAATATTTTCTTTCTGCATGAAATGTGTTAACTGAGTTTTAGAAATATAAGCCATCTTGCAGTTACTGTGAATACTAACTTTTTGGTACCTCCATATTTTATTTTACCATCAACACATGAAAGTGTGTGCTAATTACTGCTGTGTGGAATTATTGTAAGCCAGACATTTGTTATACAGCAAGTTACATACAAAACAATACTATACAGTCTTTTGTTTTTAACGTTTTATTGCATATTTTTAATAATGAAAAAACAGTGACATATTTTTGTTAAAAATGGAAAGTAAACTCCTTAAAAAGACTGATTTATTAATATATCAACTATATTTAATGTTAAAAATCTGTGTATTAAAATTTCAGATGAAACTTTCTTTTGACTTAGGATTTATGTTTTTCTAGGTATGGAATGCTGGTCTGAGGGTTCTCTATGCTATAGGACAATGGCCAGGCAATACTCATGATGCATTTATATGGAGTGGACTGAAACAAAATCTAGATAGTATTTTGTCGCATCGTGCATATCTTTGGGAGATAGTGGATTATATTCCCATTTTATCACGGGAATATCTCTATAATGAGAAGCACAGAAAAGTTCGTGCAGCTATAGAGATCAAATCAAGATTTAGGGTACTGCACGATACTGGTGGAACACTATTGTATTCACAAAGCAAAATATGTAAAATGGTCATATCTGGTGGCCATTTTACATAATATATGCTTAAGGTATTGTGTTGAAAATCCTGAGATTGATGTGTTTGAAGATGATGAGTTGGTACCTTCAGAAAGTTTTCAGCATGTTGAAATTGCATTGCACAATGAATTATCTTTAAATTTTGAAACTCGATAATAAAAACCCAAAGTGGGCAACAATGAACCTCTGGCAAAGGTGAAACCCCCTTCATGGATAATAAAGAATATATTATGAAAAAAATTACTTTCATAATATATTCTTGGGGACCCACAAGCCATGGTTTATATTTAAACCTGTAACTAAATGCACAACCCTAAATGATTTTAATTGATAATAATAATCCTAAATAATTTTATTAGTCCTGGTTTCAAATGCATACTGACAACTTTTATCATTATTGTTCTTCCCTCTGAATTTCTTGTTTCCATCATTTATGTTTAAAAACTCTTGACTACCAGAAATAACTTAATAGGCTTGATATATATATATATTTAGTGTTGGTATGCCAGTCATGATTTACAATAGTAAGTCACTATAAATTAGCATTGCACTTAATTTATCTTAAACTTAGCAATAAGATTTACTGCACCGAAATTCAGTTTCTTCCAAAAAGTCAAATGTTTCCCTTTCGTCCCCTTCCGTGGGACAAGATAGAAAATTTCCATGTGACAATACACATTTAATAGCATAAGAACTTCATGCTTATTTATTATAGTATAAATTAAACTGACATATTCTGTCAAAGATATTTAAATGTATTTAAAATAAAAACAATTATTTCACTCTATACTGTTTATGTCTTCTTGGGGGGTGGGCAAAACAAATATTGGACAGTTCAATTTTCCTCCACCATTCCTGTGAGCGTATATTCTTCGATTAAGCAGGGTTTTGCTCCAATTCCTGATTAGCATAATATGTAAAGAATAAACAGCCTATGATTTATGCCTCCATATCCTCTTGTATTATTTAAAGAACATACATTTTTCTTTTAATTCTAGATTTTAAAACATTAAAGTAAGGGAAAGATTGTTTGCTGAATTTAGATTTATATCATCATTACGCATTCACTATAATAACTTACTGCATACTTACCTCAGTGGGTTTGCCATTAAAAGAAATACATTTAAGTAAAATCATGAGTGTATAATAAATTGTTTTTCAGCCAAAAAAAAAAAGAGAAGGGGGAAAATAAATACAGTTTGATTCACTTAATTTTTAGTACGCGACTCAACATTGTTATTGTAAACTAGACATTAGCCATACTTTAATAGTTGTCATCTCTGTATTTTTAGAACTTCGAAATTAGAATGTCAATTTTATCTGCCATTGTTATGGAGCTGTAGGATATCGAATGTTATTTCTTCAATGATAAAAAGAAATGAAATTTTTAATACCACATCTCATTCATATAACTTATTAACATAATTGAAAAACAATTTAATTCATTTCGTGTTATATCTGAAAATTAAAATTTGTAATACATTGACTAAAGATTCTTACAGGTCTTATTCCCATTTTCCTCCAGGAAAAAGATAATTGCTGTGTAAAATGCATAAATATTTTCACGAGACTTATAATAGTGGTATTAGAATTATTATAATGTTTATGTCATATAATGGATCTGTGAATTTCTTTTAAATAATTTTTATAATCACAAAATTTTATAAAATTAAGAAAGTAGTAAATTTTACAATTAAAATATGAATCCCACACTGCAGAAATACATACAAGAATGAAAAAACACTGTAATATTTGAAATGCATGATTTATTTTTTTAATAAATTAATAATTATATTTTGATTTTCTATGACAGCAGACTGATTTGCAACTGATTGCTTATACAAGTCACATATTTCACACAGTACATTAATATATTCTTCTGCGTTTCAATTATTTCCTTTTCTGCAGCTGTA